CACCAGATGGTGATTTGAAACTACCTATCAAAAAGACGTAAAAAGCGGGCTACTTTTAAATAGGAATAATAAGACTGAAATAAATCAAAATAAAGACATTCACGCCAAATTGTTCAGAAGCTTACGCAGCCTCTCGATCTTGGCACTTGAGTTTTCCAACCTTTGGTCATACTCAACACGCTCAACCCTCGGGTTTAGTTTTTGGCGTTTAGTTCCTTTCTCATTTTCTTCTTCTTCCTCCTCATCTTCTTCGTCCACATCATCGACCCCTTCATCGCTGCTACTCACCTCGTTATGATCTTCATTGCCTGAAAAGAAGTGAATTTTAGCATTGATCACTTTCTTCAACCCGTTTCTACCAACATCGTCCCATGTCTTCGCTCTCTCAACCAATTCTTCAGCAAAATCTTCAGCATCTTCAGCATCTTCTTCATCCTCAAAAAGATAAGAATCACCACTTCTCACATGCTTTACTATGCTTTCTACCATTTCCTCATTGCCCAGCCAAATTGCAACTTCAGCCAGCTCCTGGTAGTGACCAAACTTTACAAATGCTTTTGACAAGAGTTCCGAGAAGAGCTGTGTCATTTTTTCATCCTTCTTCAAGCCAAACAGCCCCGCTGCTTCTTTCATTCTCACCACTGTCTCTAGTAGACCTAGACCACTACGACAATACATCGATGTCCTCACAACTTCATGGAACTTCTCGTCGAAAGTCAATAGCAGCACAAGCGCATCATCACTCTTAATTTCACTTAGCCCACCATAGATTTCTTCGAGGTCAACATCCCTGATGAATCTCTTGCTTGCCAAGGCCATTGCAACATCATGACACCCTTCAGACTCAAGCGCCAGAACAATGTCCGCAACACTTCCCAGAAATGTCCTCCTTCCTTCCTGCTGGAGCTTAGCCAGCTTTTCCTTTTTTTTCTCTGGTGAAGTTGGACAGTAACTAGACAAATATCCTCCATGCCTCTCGGGCTTCTCTGCCTCACTCTCCCACCTGGCCTCGTTGATTGTCAGTGTCTTCTCCCAAAACTCTTCGATGCGAGGAAGGCTCTGCTCTCCCCATTTTTTTCCTATTTGGACCAAGCACTTAGTAAGTGTGGGTGCCATACCCAAAATCGTCCATGCCTCATCTTCACGTCCACACGTGACGAACAAGCGCAGCAAACGTGTCAAGAACCTGTTGTCCTTGCAGACTTTCTCCGCCAAGAGCTTCTGTGCAAAGACTACAGCAGCATCCTGCAAGCCACTCTCACTCAGATGCTCAGCAAAGCTTACAATCTCCTCAGGCACCTTATCTTCCTTCTGCAACAGCCCCTCAATCACCACGCTGTAGCATTCATCCCATCCATACTTTTGTACCGCGGCAACCATAGTCTGCGCTGCTGTTTCCATGAGCTTCATCCCCCACTTCTTCATGACCAAGAAGGTTGCGTCTCGAAAGTCGTACTTGATACAAAACTGTAACAGAATCTCAAAAGGCTTCTCCCAATCAGAATCAGATTTCTGACTTGCCAAGGCAGACAAGTATTGCTCTAAATACCCACTCGTCCGGCCAGGCTCGCTTTTGTGCTGCTCCTCGAGCCACTTCACTACACTTTCAATGGACTGTGTGTCGCACAGCGCCACGATTCTGCAATCCTTGGGCCACACGACCAGAGCAGCAGTGTGATAGAACGAGTTTATATCACCGCCATCGTTGCCATTGTACGACTCAATCTCTTTCTTGTCTGGTTTGCCGCTGCCAAAAGGATCATCCTCGTCGCTGTCGTCCCTCACAACCTGATTTTCTATAGACAAGCTGCCACTTTTGAGGTGCTCGGGTTTTTTATCGTCTATCGTTGTCCAGTCCTCCACATGGTATTCAGCCTCGAATGAGTCAGAAACATTGTTCGAGATGGTTTCCTTCACAAGCATGCAGAGATGAACTTCCAGAAAGCCAGTGCAGCTCAGCACAAGTGCCGCCACAACGCTGTCGTGTCCCTTGAGCCCCGCAAAGCTCAAGCTGTTTTTCGAGTACTTGTGACCCAGCGGAATCGCGAGGATTGGTGACGAGGTGCCTTTCACTTCCTCGGCCCATTCCTTCAGCTGGCTTTGAACGCTCCCGAGAGCTGACAAGTAGTGTGGAACCTTGCGAGGATCCACATCCACAAACTTTGCGTTGCTCCGTACCAGGCTAAACACTAGGCAGAGCCTTGTTCCACTTGTCACTTCAGCCAGCTTGTGCACGCAGTCGCAGAAAAAAGCCGTCTGAAAGTACCCCGTCCTCGAAGCAGCGCCAGAGAAATCAAAAGTGACACTCTTCTTCCTCCCGTGACGAATCGTCAGATTGCCACCCTCGTGCCCGGACCGCGTTGGAAGCTGCAAGATCATCGTCGCAAACATGCCATCTTCCTTCTCTGTATCCCTGTGAGACTTGAAGTGGCCACCTTGCTCATACAGTAGCAGCTTATACAGTCTCACGTCCAAGCCAAGCGCAGCTGCATCGATCCCCAGCACCTCCATCGCGGGAACAGCCATGTCGAGTACCACCTTTGAAAAAAAGTCTGGGGTTTGGGGGCAACTCACCTTGGATGCCTCCACTTGCCATGCGCGGCGGACGTCGGTGTCGAGCAAAGTTTCCTCGCCCTTTCCATAGGGTGCTTGCTGCGACACGGCCTTGAGCTTGAGAAAGCCATCGTTGGAGAGAGGGAGGGCGAGATCTCCAGCGCCCTCCACTCGCAAGGAGGCAGGCATGGCAAATTTGCTTGCATCAACCTCGCCTCCCGTGGCATACTTTCGGCGGGGAACGGTCGACCACAGTACCTTGAGAAGCGCTTGGTGGTCCATACTTGCACCGCTTGCCCTTGGTAGCTTTCCTATTTATGGTTCGGAAAAGGCGTCGAGTCTATCTATGGAAGCAAGCTTCCCAAAATTGACAAGAGGTGCTGTGGCACTGCTGCTTTCAACGTGTACACCAGCCCTGGTCAAGAAACACCTCGTTACTGCTTGTGACTTGGACCAGCATGATGGTTTAGTTGATTGCGAGGCTTGCATTCAAGGCAAGCATCATCACTATCCTTTTCCTGTTGCAGCTCATCCACTCAGATGTATGTGACATGGGAGACACCTCTATTGGTGGTAATTGTCATGTTTATTGATGACTTTTTTTCACAAAGTTGATGTTCGTCTCATGAAGCACAAGAGAGACGTTTTCCAACACTTCAAGGATTTTCATGCTAAAGTTGAGAAGCAAACATAGAAAGTTGTTAAGGTTTTATGCTCAAATAATAGAACCTTGGTTGAAGCAACTTTGCACTATGCTTCTCATGCTGGATGCCTACCGGGGAGAGGCGTTAGTGACTACTGCATATTTGAGGAATTGGCTCCCAACTGCTGCTTTTGTAGTGAAAACTCCATCTGGTTATTGACCCTTAGAGTTTTTCACAAAGTTCGCCTCTAGATTTGTTGGTTATAGAGATGTAGAGTTCTTTATGTTCATGTGATTGAAGATATATTTCCTTTCAAGCAGCCTGAACAATCAACCCTTGCAACATGCAAGCTGGTTGATGGCTATCCAATAGCAGATTTTCCAGTTCCAGTGGGAGCACCCCCACCACCGCCACTTATAAATTCACGTCTGCCGCCACCACTGCCTATTCCACCCCATGATGATGGTGATCAGCCTCAATCTCAAAGTGATACTTTTGGATGCACTATTATTGGACATCCCTGTTCTGGCCGTCCACTTCTCAGTTGGCCCGCCTAGGAAACTTACAGCTATTCAAGTCTAATTCTACTTGATGTTATTTTGCTGAAACTATTCCTGAGCCACAGTCAGTTGATGAAGCATTATCAGGTCCACATGCCTCTGCTTGGAGAGCAGCCCTGGACTCTAAATACAATTCTTTAATCTCCAGTGGTTCGAACTATATGAGTGATGCTAGCATTAGCAGTGCAATACAACTAGATTACAGTCCAAGGAAAGTGTGTAAACTTATCAAATCCTTATACAGTTTAAAGCAATCTCCCTAAGCTTGGTTCACCAAGATGGATAGCTTTCTATTATCTATTGAATGCAGCTGATCAAAATGTTTATTACAAACGCTTTGGTGACTTGCTTATGATATTGGCTCTTTACGTTGATGATTTCACCTTAGACTCCAACAATCTGTCTTTCTTCATGAGATTAAATCAGAGATCACATCTCAGTTTGAGATGGATAATGTAGGCGAGATTCAGTATTGTCTCAGCCTTCATATTTCGCGATGAGATAGAGTTCGTGGCTCTCTTTATCTATTTCAGCAGCAATACACTCACGAGGTTTTACAGCCCTTTCAGATGCAGGATTCTACTCCAGTTTTGACACCTGATTAATCTTCATCTCTCCTTTGATCAGTCTCCAGAAGTTCCAGTTGATCGTGAAGCCATGTAACATTTTCCTTATCGAGCTGCCATCCAGATCACTCATCCAGATCTAGCATATGCAGTGGCGTTGTTGCCAAGTTTTCCGAGAATCCAGGCATGGCACATTGGCAGGCGCTATATTCAAGAGACTTGGTTCTTTGTCCTCACTTACTCTTCTATTCTAGATGCTGGCTTTTGTGGATTTTGTGATGCTGATTGGACTGGTGATTTTGAGACCAGGAAATATATTGCAGCTTGCTCCGCCTATAAGGAAGCAAGCAGGTCCAACATCTCGATCAACCGGAACCTGAGAAAGAGAACACTAAGAAGCAGTTACCAATTGTAAGTGAAGAGGGCCATATCTATTTTAACAAAACAGATATAAAAAACTTATAATACAAGTAGTCAGAGATTTTATAAACTTATCCTAAATCTTCCCAAAGGAACGTACCTCTTTTGTTGGTATTTTTGAGTCAGCGCGCTTTGAGCGCTTCTGGGCTCGTTTTCGTAATCTCTATCCGTATAGAGCATACTCCAAATGGACTTTACCAAATAAAATGATAATGTCAAAACCCTAGGGCGTATACAATATGTTAAAGATTGTTTTAGGGTTCTTGGATGTCGGGGCCTGGCGCCAAGGGCGCTGATGCAAATGCTGCCCAGGGCAACAAGATTGCGCTCAGGAGGATGACGCCCAAAAGGAAGCGATTGGTGTGCGACGAGGACGACGAGGACGAGCCGGTGCAATTCGCGGAGGCGATGAAGCAGAGCGCGTGGAAGGGAGGGTTTTGCGTCCAAGAGAGCCCCGCCGGCGATGTTGATGCTCCCAAGAATGCCTCTAGCATCGAGGACGAGGTTCGTTTGTGTCTTCGCGAATTTTTTGATCTGGAAAAAGAGAAAAAGAGAGATTTTCTTTCTTTTCGTTGCAGCTCCCTGTCGCTGTGGTTCCCGACGACGATGGCATGGTAACTTTCTAGAATCTTTTTTCTTCTCGCGGGCTTTTAGAATGCGTTTTTCATATCCAGCCTCGGGCGAGAGCGAAATGGCGGCCATACGAGGGTCACGTCCCTCTTTTGCCGGACGCTCCAGCTTTTTACCCGGACAAGGATGTAAGTTTTGTTCTTTATAGACTCGTACAAAACAATGTGATCGAAGGTTTCACCATGACTAACTAACTTCGTTGGTGACAGGAATTCTCTGACCCGATCAAGTATATCAGCAGCATTCGTCAGGACGCAGAGCCTTATGGCATTTGCCGCATTGTTCCTCCGCGATCGTGGCGTCCTCCGTGCGCTCTGGAAGATGAAGCTCGTTCTGGGACGGTGAAGTTTACCGTTCGCAAGCAGAAGATACACAAGTTGCAGAAAAGAATGCAGCAGTGTAGCAGTGATTCCTCCTCGTCGTCTCCAGTGCCCTTTGGATTCCAGGCGGGGCCTGCTATGTCGCTCCCAGAGTTTAGAGCGTACGCAGAGGCCTTCATGAAGAGCTATTTTACAACTGACGAACAGCTGACGGCGACCACCGTGGAGGATTTTGAAGGGGAGTACTGGCGCATCGTGGAGTGTCCGACGGAGCAAGTCGAGGTAGTGTCTCTTTCTTTTCTTTCTTTCGTTTTTGTCATCCTGCTAAACTCGGGTGAACAGGTAATTTATGGTGCTGATTTGGATACAGCAAAGGTTGGGACTGGATTTCCTAAGCCCAAACCAGAACCTGTACAAAATGGTGCTTACGAGAAGTCAGGCTGGAACCTTAATAACTTTGCAAGAGCCCCCGGATCAATGCTTTGTTTCGAAGACGCAGAAATTTCAGGAGTAGTTGTCCCGTGGGTTTACATCGGCATGAGCCTGTCCTCGTTTTGCTGGGTGAGTGAGCTTCTTCTATCGTTTTCGTTTATGTGAAAATATCGAGTTTGCATTGCAGCATGTCGAGGATCACTTTCTCTACTCCATAAATTATTTGCATTTTGGAGGGGAGAAAGTTTGGTACGGAGTTCCGAGAGGCTCTGCAACCATGCTGGAGGACACCATGAAGAGACACCTGCCAGATTTGTTCATGGACCAGCCAGATCTTTTGCAAAAGCTGGTAAGTTCTTCTCTATTCAAGCGCATTGCTTTCTAATCTGTAATCAAATTTGAAAAACTAACAGGTAACACAGTTCTCGCCATCAATTCTCAAAGACGAGAACGTTCCCGTTTATAGAGCAGTACAGCGTCCTGGTGACTTTGTAGTTACGTTTCCACGGGCATATCACTGTGGTTTTAGCACGGGTTTCAATTGTGCTGAAGCGGTTAACTTTGCTCCGATGGACTGGCTTGTCCACGGGCAAGCCGCTGTCGAGCTCTACCAAAAGTTCCGGCGGAAGACGACTGTTTCTCACGACAAACTGCTCTTCGCAGCGGTTAAGGCTTGCATAGACGCAGCCAAGACTGATGGCGTCAGGGCTCCTTTCTGGCGGCAAACACTTGACGATGTCGACCGACTGAGCACGCTGATGAAAGCATGTAAGGTGAGTATCTGCTCTTTGTTCCTTTTTGTTTTGATCTCACTGTCGAGAGAATTGCAGGCAAGGATCCAAACGGAGCACTCTAGAAGAACTTGGAGGGACGATATCAAGTCCCGGAAAATGGACGCCGACTTTGATCATACAGAAGAAAGGGAATGTTTGCACTGTCACTATGACTTGCATTTGTCCGCAGTCTCCTGCGACTGTAGCCCCGGACGGTTCGCCTGTTTGGAGCACGTCGACTTATTGTGCAAGTGTCCGAAAGAAAGCAAGTACGCTCTTTACCGTTATGATCTCTCAGAGCTATACGGCTTCCAGACGGCACTGGAGAAGCTGCTGAAAGACATAACGGAGAAAGGCGAGTGCCTTGTGGATGCCAGTGGTGGCGGCTCAGTAATGTCAGTTCCTTCTAAGCACATCGCCTCAGTCGCTTCGGCTCGATGTAACAAGGACTCGGGAAGTAGTTCCGAAAAGAAAGCGATGGACTCGAAAGTCAAGACAACGCCGGGAAAAGACTGTCCTCTTGTGGTTCTCAGCGACGATGACGACTACGAAACAAACTTCGTGAAGAAAGAGGTTGAAGACGAAAAGAATGTTTTGGAGGAGCCTGTAGAAATCGCAACGCCGGCCCTCAAGCTAGAACTTCTCGACGTGGGGACGCTGTCGGCAGCAGGCTGGTGCAGTAAAGCTTCGATCTTTCCTCCAGGTAAATCACTCGAGTTCTTGTTTTGCTTGTTCTCACTTCCTCTCGGCAGGCTTCAAGAGCCGAGTTCTTTATTACAACTTCTTGAACTTGTCCCAGCCATCGCATTATGTATCCGAGATCGTCGACTGTGGTGCCGAGGAGCCATATTTCAAGGTGAGACACACTGCCTATACGATACTACTAAGCTCGAGTTGAATTCTCACAGGTATCACTCGAGAATTCGCCGCACACTTTCGTGGACGTGTCGGCTGATCTCTGCTGGCGAGCCATCCAGCGGCGGCTCAACTTCGAGATACACTCAAAGCGGAAGCTGGGAAATTTTAACGTTCCCCGAGAAAGGCCGGTGGAAGAGATAAGCGGCATCGCCATGTTTGGCTTGAGCGACCCCGCAATCAAAAAGGTATTTTGATTGATCGAAAACTCTCCTCTCACACTCGTTCGTTCTCAGGTAGTGGAAGCGCTGGATAAGAGGCACGTATGCCGAGCTTACTGGGAGAAAACTTTCTCGACGGAACTAGATTCTCTCGCGCTACTGAGAAATCTATTCCTAAAGGGAGACAAGGACGAGCTATGGGCGCTACACAAAGTCTTGGGCGCTGAGTGGGGGAAAGATATGTGGAAGCAATGCTTTCAAGCGCTGGCCGACGTTCTCGAAGGCCTCTTGGAAAGCTCGGTCAGGAAATAAAGTGGAATGGTGTAAATTATTCGTCGCATACGTACCAAATAATGATTCGTCGGATATTCGTGTACGGGAGAGTAATACGGAATGATTATTCGTGGTATATGCGTGCACGGGCAGTTGTACGAAATGATTCCTGGCATTGTTCGTGGGTTTATTCGCGGGATAATACTTGCAACGTACGGGGGTTTAACCATTTTAGGGCACAACGATGGCAGGGGAGGAGGACGCTTCGTGGATGGGATCGTCCATGGAGGGCTCGTCATCGGTGAGCATGGGGGTTCTAGCAGAAAGGAAGCGAAAGTCCCCGGAGATCGAGGTGTGCATCATCTCAGATGAGAAGGACTCGGAAGGCGAGGGGAGGAGGAGATGCGTGAGGAGCTGCGGCGGCGATGAGAGGGTCCGATCGGGGTACCGGCTGCGTGCCAAAATCCGCGGCATTGAGAGGTTTGATCCCTTTGCATCGTCGGCGGGGGAGATGGCCAGGAAGAAGCGGCGCATGATGGAGAAGCGGCAGCGAGAGCTTGAGGATGATGCTGGAACGCCGCTGCGCGCTTGCCTGTCCGAGGGCTGTGGCGCCAGAACTCCAGTCTGGAAGGAGCATTTGGATCGAGAGGGCAAGAAAACCAGTCGCCGCGAAAAGCCTGAGAAATCCAAGGGAATCTCGAGGGAGAAATCGGAGGCCAGGGACGCTCTTCCCCCTCGTCCTCCTCCTCCTTCTCCTCCTCCTCCGCCTCCTCCGGTTGCAAAGCAAGCTCGAACGATTTACAAAGAGGAAGAAGCGAGAGTTTCTCCCAGCAAAGTTTCCGCGAGGAAGAACTTGGGGGCGACGATGAAAAATTCGGCAAAGAAGAGGTCGATGCTGGAGGACATGATCCGGGAGATCAACGAGAGGCAGCGAGTCCCGGGGATGGGAAAGAAGAGGAAGAAGAAGAAGATCACGGCTGCTGGTGCTCGCGATCGAGCTCCAGTGGAGGAGAAGAAACCTTACGTCAAAGTGGAGGTTGACGAGCTCGTGCAAATGCGGTGTGAGGTGGAGGAAGGCCAGCGGATGCTCGAGAATCTCAGGCAAAAGGTGGAGGAAGCGCAGGAGGAGCTCAACTACAAGAAATCCAAAGTGGAGGAGCTAGAACGAAAGAAAAAGCTCGAGGACGAGAGGAACGTCGCTGCGGCCGCTGCTGCTCGAGGAAGACGAGAACGAACAAGGCCTTCTTACTTTCCAGTTCACAAGGCGTTTGATAGAAGGTGGGACGATCCCGTTTTTGGTCCCGGTGAGGCGGAGGAGGAACAACAGGAAGTGTCCAAGGAGAAAAATGGCAACCAGTCGGATTCTTCGTCCTCGGACGGGAGCCTCGTGAGTTCTTCCCTTCCTTTTCCGAGATTTTCTTTGTCCGACTAAAGTTCTTGGTTTCTATCCCTCTCTAGCAGGTTGCGGTGAACAAATATAGCACTTCTCAAGACGCGGACGAGTTTCGTGACAAGCTTCGCAAGGAGCTCTCCCGGCCTTTCTGCCCGCAGGAGTTGCGAGAGAAGTTCAAGAGCGTTAGGCTTCAAAAGCCGATCATTCGCTCGCGTGATCTCCGTGGCCAGCGCAGCTGCCAGTTTCCGAATGGCAAGGAGGGCCTGTCTTACCTCGATCATCATCCAGGTGAGAAACAACAACATTGTCTCCCACTTTGTTTCTCAACTCTGGGACTCAACGTTTTTTTTAACAGATTTTGCAGCGGCTCTCAAGGTGGCTGTGGATCCAAAGAGGCAGCTTCGACTACTACGCGAGTTTTTCTTTTGGCTCAAGGTAGAAGTTTCTCTGGTTGTTTTTCCAATTGTGATTTCTCTTTATCTCTCTGGCTCCTTGTTGTCCCATAGCACGCGTGCGTGGAAGGCTCTTTTCGACCATGGAATCCACACAATCGTGGACTTCTACGCGAGAAGGGCCCAACCTCAGTGAAAGATGAAGTTATCGTCCTCGACTGACGAGATCAAGCCCGTAAAGAGTTTTACTCACAGACACTACGAGTTCCACACATAGTTGAGATTAGTGTACAGGAAAACCAATCAAACAAACATTTTTTCTGTAAGAAAAAGATGGTTTTTATCTTTGCTCAATATGGTGGACAAGATCCTCTAAAGTTTGGAGAGGTGGTGGATGTTGAAAGGCCACACATCGGAGCCATTTGGAGCAGCGAACCAAAATCTCCGCGCAGCCAAGTGGTTGAATCTTCCGGTCGGGTGGAACAAATCCCAGAAAACGTGCTCGGACGCGTTGGTGCAAGTCGGAGCAAACATGAAACACTCAAAGTAGCTCCCGAAAGGACAGCACGGCGTGTTGACATTCGAGAATCCTTGCAAAAGCGAAGATAAAAAATGGTTTTTCCGCGAAGAACTTTGCGTGAGAGATGGAGATTCTTACCGTGAGCAGTGCCGTTTTTGATGGTTGCGGTCATGATCTCGTAGAGATTGGCGTAAACCATATGACTCTCGATGAGCGTGAGGCGGAGCTCCTCCACCATGGCGTGGAGTTTGCGGTTGTAGCTTCGCGCGGCACCGTCGTAGTCACTGGCGCACTGCCCGGGCGTCTCGAGCCTGTAGATGTAGAGCGACATTGGATTGCATCCCAGCGCGGCCACCGAAGAGATGACGAACTTGCGAGCGTTCAAGCCATAGAGTTCCTGGATGGATCATAGAGTTGTAACATCAAAGCTCTCTAGAAAAGGTGAAAGAAGGAGCATGAGAGAGTGTCACTGACTTTGATCTGGCGACGAAGGATGGAGATGAGGAGGTCCTCGAACTGGTCGAGAGTGTAGTTTCTCTGGAGCGTGGGGTTCCTGTAGTAATTGTTTGCGAAGTCGTTGTTGCCAATGGAGATGTAGAAGATGGACTTGGAGACGAGCAGGGACGAGTTGTAAGCTCCCAGTGACGAGTCCAGCGCTTCCTTTGCCTCCCGGAAGTACTCGATTTGTCTATACAAGGGAGCGTGATCTCCCTGGAAGAAAAAAGAATATAAAACCATTCGTCACGCAAAGATGACGGAATTGCATAAAGATGTCACCATGCCAGCGCCAGTACTGTTGTGGATCCCTGCGCCTCCGGATCCAAAGTTTGCTCCTTGAATGACGTTTCCTCCAGCTCCCAGGTAAGGAGGAGGGAATGGAAGATTCAAAAACGAAGCTTCAGAGAGGAAAAAATCAGATTTTTCTTGTGGAAAAACGATGAATTCACCATCACCTATGTAGTCGGGTATGAGCCTCCCGTCAGTGAATCGGCCAGTAGCTCGGTGCTGGTCGAAGTTGATCCCGAAAGGTGGGAAGTTTGCCCGGGAGAAAGTGTTCAAGTAGTTGTTGTTCCCGGCGTCCACCAGCGAGTCTCCAAACACGAACAATGCGGGAGTTTGCGAGTCATTCTGGCACGAGCCTCTGGAGAGCAGAGCAAGGAAAGCCAAGGCAAGAGCTCCGCCAGCCATTGCCATTCTTCCTAACAAACAAATCCAAAAGAGAGGATCAAAGAAAAGAGAGATTTTTTCTTGTGTGTTTGAAACTTTCGAGCTCACCCATGGATCATCCGATTCACAGTCGGCGCTTGCGGCAAGATCACAAGCACCACTCCTTGTCGATGGATTTAAAGCTGCTGTTGTTGCAACGACAAATGTATGCTAGACTATAACACAAAAACTAAGCTTTGATTTTACCAGGAGCTGCCTCGCGGCTACCGGATTTTGTCATGGCTCTTTCAAAGCGCTCTCGCTCGACCTAAATCCACCTCGACGATACCCAGCTAAAGAAAATGGAAAGAGCGTGACCACTTTCTTTTCCTTCCTCGCAGTGTCATCTTTCCCAGTTCATGAAAAGAAAATATCACAGTTACTCACAATTGGGGTGGTGGCGCAGTTGGCTAGCGCGTAGGTCTCATAGCTTCTGAGTTATCCTGAGGTCGAGAGTTCGAGCCTCTCTCACCCCAAAAATTATTTTAGGTTTTACATTTGGTTACAGTTCTTTGTAGAAGCTAACTTATTGTTCTTTTCTTTTGATGACAGCTTAAAAGCATATTGTGGAGATTTCGAGATCTCAGAGAGGATAGATTGATATCAAATGGCTGTTTTTTACGTGTTTGTGATGATGTTTTTGGTGTCCACGCATTTTCATCAGCTAGAGAGTGATCCATACTGCGATTCGAGTCCTTCAAGTCCTCGGCTACTTCGGGTTACCCATCTCATCGTCTGCAACGCTTGGAAGGCCGTGCCGGGATGCCACGCCTGCGCAAACCAGACGCAAATGGTCAAAGAGCGAGTGCTCTACACGGAATATCAATCTGTGAAGCTAGTTTCTTCTCTCTTTGATAGAACTATAGAACAAAAATTCTGCCCTTTTGATTGATTATCTCGAGCAAGTGAAAGAACAAAACTGTCGCGTGTTATAATGATAGAAGCTAGAGTTATTTTGGAGCGAGAGCGTAAACGAAGATCATATCGCCTACGCGGATACCTTCTCGGCGGGAGCCGCTGCCTCTTGGATCTCGCCAAGAGCTCGGCTGTCGAGCGCCATTCCCATTGTGTGAAGCCCATTGTCTACGTAGAACACGGTTCCGGAGATGGCCGACGCCAGTGGCGAGGCGAGGAAAGTGGCTGCGTTTCCAATATCATCTGTGCGAAAAGAGTATATAGCGAAGTAAGCAAACCAAGCAAGCCAAGCCAAAGTTTTGAACGTACCAGCTTCGAGATCTCTTTGCAGGGGAGAATTTGCCTTGGAGTAATCGATCATCTTCTCAATGAATCCGATTGCCTTGGCAGCTCTGCTTTTCAAGGGACCTGAAAAAGCATGTCATGCATGAGCCACAGCTTTGATAGATTTGTAAGATTTTACCTGCTGAGATTGTGTTGACCCTGATCTTGTATTTCCTTCCGGCTTCGAACGCGAGAACCCGTGTGTCACTTTCTAGAGCTGCCTTGGCCGAGCTCATCCCTCCACCGTAACTGTTACATGTCACCACATTATGCGCAGTCGAGCCAAAGAAAGAAGAAACCAAAGACAACGGTAGTGTAGATACCCGGGAATGGTTTTTTCAGATGCCATGTACGTCAAAGAAATGACTGAGCCGCCTATAATGATAAAAAAACGATTGGAAATCTGCAAGAAAGGAAAACACTTGCCTTGATTCATAATTGGAGCAAAATGTCTGAGGAGAGAGACATGTGAATACGCTGATGCGGAGCTAGCCGCGAGGTATCCTTTCCTCGAAGTCTCTAGAAGAGGCTTCGACACCTGAGATCGAAACAAGGAACCAAGATGAACAAAAGAAATCGACGATCAGGATTAGAGGAATCTGAATCTCTTACTTCTGGACCATTCGCAAGAGAATGAACGAGAATATCAATGCTGCCAAAGTCTTTTTTCACGCTGTCCACCACTTCCTGCAGGCCGCAACAATGCGAGAACAAAATCGCTTCGATTCAAGCAATAAAGCTTTTTCGTACCGTGACGGTCCAGGCAGAAGCTCCGGCATATCTCTTGTTGTTTTTTATCTGGTGCATGCCACAAGGTAGAATAAACAGCTATCATGGCAGCAATTAAAATAACAACTCACGTCTTCCGGAACGTCTTCAGGGCAGTCAAAAACTGCATCCAGGGGGTACACTTTCGAGATCTCGAACAAGGATCCATTTGGCAATCTAAAAACCGGAAAAGTGTCACTACTTCTAAAAAAAAAAGAAAAAAAAGAAAAAAAAGAAAACGCAAAAACTTACTGTCTCGACTCATCGAATTTTCCTCTCCTCAAGCTGGTTTCAAAGATATTGAGAGCCTAAAAGAATAGAAAAGTTAGCACCCAACAGTTGAAAGAGACTAAACACATGAATTACCGGAACCCAGGTTCCCACGAGAATTTCAGCCCCGGCAGAAGCAAGCGTTTTGGCAATCGCCCATCCATATCCTTGATCATCGGCCACTCCAGCGATAAATGCCCTCTTCCCTGCATGCGACAGAAACACGAGCAACAAAAGGAAAATCTACAATGCACGCATGAAAGAAGAAATACCCGTAAGATCGATAGCCAGTCCCGGAACTCCAGCCCCCGTTCCATTCGATCCCGCCGACGCCATGACGACACCGCTCTTAGCACTATTCCTCACACTGGAGCTGCAAAATCCGCTGCTTTTCAGTGCCGAGAGCGCACCGCTCCTCTCGAAAGGCCTGGCATTGAAGGAGACGACGGATCTGGCAGCATCGGGAGCGACGAGCGAAGCGACGGACGTGGACGAGGTGCCGCGCGCGACCGCGAGCATTCCACTACCTGCAATCAGCGACGCCATTGCTGGATCGAAGCGCGAAATCCCGGGAGCTGCTCGATCGATCGCGGAGCCGCTGCCAAGGAAAACCTAGACGCGCATATACAAACACACACCAAAGAGCATGCAAACGGAGAGCTCAATGTGGTGTCCTTGGCAAAGCCCCAGTGCAAATGTCCCGGTGTCCCTAGCATTTAAATAACACGCCCAAGGACACGCTCCACCGTCCCTTCCCATCCACGGTCCAAACAATTCCACCTTTGCTATAAACTACTCTCTTTTCCCATCCTAAAAAAAATAATGCCACAGAGAATTCTCGGGGAGAAGTTCTTCTAGCTCATAGAAGTTCTTCCAGATGATCTAATCCAATGCATTCTTTCCCTTTGGTATCGTATCTCGATCGATCACGGACTCGGGCCAGAGCGTCGCCTCTTGGGATCACGATCGAAGAGATTCAAGTTCAAGGAGACATCCTCGCTTAAGTTCTTCTTGGGATCCCCCCATCCTGTTCCTCCCGTGGCTCCTCCCCCTGCCGACGATCCTCCACCATCGCCACCTTCCGGTGGAGAAGTTGATGCCAACGCCAGCCCGATCTCAAAGGGAGGAACCGGCAGCCGTATCTGGAGATCGATGCTCTTGTTAGCTTTGGACGCTAGAGGAGCAGCGTGCCGAGAGAGAGCTACCGGAGAATGCCTTGGCGCTGCTGCTCCCAACTCCACCGGTCCCTGTGACGAGCCCGGCTCGATCAAAGTCCCCGAAGAACGAAACCTCTCGTGCGGTGCCAGCATCATATCCATCTTGGAGTAATCCTTTGGAGACGCGTCTGGCACCCCGGTCGCTCCCACCGCGATTGATGACCCCCACCGCCGTTGTTCTTCCAGAGCGTCTGTGCCGCAAACACGTAAAAACGTAAGAACACCAGCGAGAGGAACAAAAACTTCCTTTTCTTCTGGAAAAATGTCACCTTGCAAGGACGTCTCGGTGGTTATCAAGTCCAGTTGTAGCAAGTCAAGCAAACGGCCCAAGTCGACGCCACTTGTCCAGTTCTCGGGCCCGTGCCCGCTTCGCAGCTTCAAACGCCCCCTGTTTGCTGTGCCACCCCAGATGATTCCCACTGGCCTGGGATTCTCACACCGTTCCCACGTCATGGATATTAAGCTGCCACTGTCCCCTTCTAGATCGAATGCCTGCTTGTTCTCCCCCACGATAAGAAAGTCCGTGAAAAAGCAGATGCCTTTCTCATCATTGTATTCGACCGCATACGCCATGATAATGCCTTTTGTAAGCCCGGAGCTCCTCCCCACCTTGACCACGTGTTGCCCCACAATGGACTCGATTGGTGCCTGGAGATCCACTCGGAAAACTTCCCCCAGCTCCCCCAGGCTGTGAACTCTGACCGACACTTTGCTTGTATCAAATGATTCCGCAAACGGAATGAAAGCCCCGTCCGCTCGCACAAACGTCTCTAGAGCAGCGGAAATCAAGAACAACAAAACGTAAGTGCTTCAAGCTTTCAAACGGAGTTCATCAACAAAGCTCACCTGGATTCATGCCAGCGAAAATGCCATACCACAGATCGTCGGTGATGAAGGACGTCGCCCTTTCTACTGCGCCGAGGTATACCCCTGGCCCAAGGTTTGGCGGCAGAGGATGAAACATCTTTTGGTTTGGGTAATCTAAGTCGACAGCTACGTGCCTGTTTGTGAGGAAACCAACTTGCCTTGCACCCGTCTGACTTCGAACTATAGCACCTAGCGTACCATAAGTCTCTTGACTTGCTACCTGTTGTAGGTAGTTCAAAGTCAGGGACGCAATAAAGCTCAGTCCATACCTGTGATCCGGAGCCAATGCACGGATCGTTACCACGCAACCCTTCGACCAGCTCGGAGTAAATTTGCTCCTTTGGTGTCACGGTCGAAGCGCCATAGTACGAGAATTCAACCACATCTACATCACACCAAACTCCCCCAGGCCCCTGAGTAGAGAAACTGTTACTTCACCAGCGAGTTAAGAAGCCGAGAGCGGTTTTACATGCACTAGTTACCTCGAGAGCAGTCGGCAGTCTCTGAACGTCGAGAAGCCATTGCTTGTGGACCTTGCGAGCCACAAAGACAATGATAGCCGGGATGTTGGTCAGCACCCCAGCCCGCGTCCGGAACCCGAGCGCTGTTCCAAGGCTGTAGCGGCGTAAAACTTTACTGTGGAAGGCCCGAATGGTCATCAAATCTAGCAGAGTGGAGGCTTGCTGGCCGCTGGGTACCCGCTGCTGCGTGTCCATCTCCGCATCTTTCTGAAGCCCACTAAAATAAGCGGCTCGCTCCTCCGCGGTTCCATTTATCCGAGCCGGCGGCCAGAGGACGTAGGCAGCACTGCTCTCCGAATGCTGGCCGCCGGAGGCCACCGCCTGGAGAGGCGGGCTCTCGGACCGTGGATGCCTGGAAGTGCTACCGGGGTAGTAAGTCCAGTCCTTGTTCTGGCGCTCTTCGCCGCCCAACAAAGCTGGCCGTGTTGCTCGCAGCATTCGCGTGATGTCCATCTCCTCGCTGGGCCTGCAATTCCGTCTGTACTCTTGTTACCGCAGTGGAATATCAAAGAAGGAAAGACCCATGATCATCTTAACGATGGAAAGAACAAAAACAGAAATCCACGATCATCGAAAATGGAAGACGGAGAAACCCATGATCATCTTAACGACGAGAAGAACAACAAAAACCCATGATCATGGGAAGAACGAAGAAACGTCTAAACACCCACAGCAGCCCAAAACTTCCGCACACTCGTCAACATGATCAAGGCACGACCCAAAAGCAAAGCACCCGAAAAAAAAAAACACAGGGAGGAGCAAAAAAAAAAAAACAAATGATTCCAAACACACACACACAGCCACAGCGTACCAACAAAAAAAAAAAAAAATATCTAATGCAGCATTGTCCCAGAAAGGATTGAAACGATATTTCCCAAATTGGAAAGCACTGTGATCCATCCAGGAAGCAAGAACACGCACGCGAGCAATGAATCAATGCAAGGGCACGAAATATCGCGAGGCCGGATCAAGACGATCAGAATGAATGCAATGCGCGGAGGAGGAGGAGGAGGAGGAGTGGCGGATCGAAAACGCGCTTACCTATCCCAGTGGATGAGCTCCTGCGTCCGAAACGAGACCTTCTTCTGGACGAAGTAGGGAAATCCCATGCTAGGGCCGCTGCCGCCGCTGTTGATTCCACTCCCGAGCTCCTCCTGCTCGCCGCCGCCCAGCTCCACCTCGCAAGCCGGCAGCTGCGTCGCCTCGCTCACCGCCGGCGACACATCCTCCTCTTCCTCCTCGGGATCTTCCTCAAGAACCACGCATCCGGCGTCCTCGGCGTCCTCCTCGGCCCTCGCCTCATCGCTCGCCTCCTTGCGGCCGGAATGATCGATATTTCGGGCGCGATCTTTGCGAAGGCTCTGCATCTGTGTGCCCGGAGATCGAGAATCCAGCTATGGCGAGAAGAGGAATGGGGTGAAGAGGAGGAACAAGAAGAGGGGGAGCTCACGAGCGCTGCCCCACTGCCATGCGGATCCAAATGTAGCTAGCTAGGGCGCGCCGCGGCGCGCTCGCCATAACCAAGCTCTCTTTCCCTCGGAGGAGAGGAAAAAAAAAAGAGAGGACCGACACCAAAACACTGACCCGGCGAGTGTTCTGGGCGCCCACAAACGCCGCGGCCTATACGCCAAAACGCCGCAGAAGAGATCCCCCGGTATCCTACTCGAGGACGCCGTATTTACAACACCTGGCGTACGGGCGGACGTGATGGCGCCATGTACGGCGCGCCGGGGAATATGCGCATATGCTCCATGTGTTGACATTTTCCGTACGGAGCGTACGGGCATATGGAATATACCCTGGCCCGGGAATTGACTTCTGGGTAGTGGGCGGTGTTGTCCGAAACGAGGAGAAAAGATTGAAAGCCACGGTTTGTCTCATTCAGCGCAGCGTAGAAACAAAACCACCTAAAGGAGATATATTAGGGTTTGTCTCTTTGAGCAGAGAATATTCCATGGCCTGCCGTACATAGTGGTACGGAATTTCGCAGAGAATACTCCACAGCCTACCTTACATGAGTACCCCGCTGATAGTATCATGAAAATTTCATGAAAATCGATAGCTTATTTACCCAGAGCAAGCTTTGAGTTCCTGTTTGTACACTGGCTTGGTTTGTGAGGTTGTATAGCTTTCTTAGCGTAGCAGCAGCCCAGTGGTACGTTCCCAGTGTTTCTCTTGGTCGGGTTCTTTCTCTTTTTTTCTCGTGGTCGTCCTTCTCGGAGCTGCTGAGATTTTTTGATGACTGATCGATCGATCGATCGCTGCTGCTGCTGCTCGCTCTTGCGCTTATACTGTGCTTTTACTCCTTGGCGCCACCACCGCGGAAGGAACCAGACTTATTTCCAAAGTTTCCATAGCTCAAATCGCGACCCTGCAAAAGTCCACTCGAGAGAGTCAGTAACACTCGGGAGAGAAGGAAGGGAACACTCACACTCGATGGGAGTCAAGAAACCAACGATAGAAAAGCAAGACAAAAACAAAACCAGTCGAAAGTAAAAGCAAAAGCAAAAGCAAACCATGGAGACATCTCTTATTCCTCATCGCATGCCAGCCTCCATCGCGATGAAAGATGGAAGATAGATACGCCGAGAGAGAGCGAGGGAGCGAGGGAGAGTTCCACAACACCCAACGAAGAAAAAAACGAAAGAAGAGAGAAAAAAAAACCACGAAGAACCCCCGCGCCCCCTCACTGCTAGAACTCAAGCTCTCTCTCTCACACCTCCCTCTCACCACTCTCTCTCTCCGGTCACGTAGTCGGATGACGATTAAATACCATCCGCTTAGGCTCAACTGAGGAGATAGCTGAGCTTCGCTGCAATGGTGCTGGGCTAAACACAGGGGGACCAAAGAACCGTGCTTTAGCTAGAGCTTCCGATGGACCAACCAGTCGTGACTTGGGTACAGGATCAAGCGGACCTAGGAAACGCGACTTGGCTGCATCAAGCGGGTTCAGTTTCTTTGGTACAATGTGACGAACCAAGGGTGGTCGGGTCTGATCTTCCACCACATCTCCCTGCAAAAATCCCACACACAGTTTTCTATTCATTCCCATTGCAAGTAATCATGAAAAGGAGAAAAAAACGAGAGGGAGATGAGGAACCAAACGAACAGAATCGCCGTAAAAACTGTCAAGCATTCATGCATTGCAGGCTCAGGTGGGAAGAAAAGGGAGAAACGTACGCTGTCTTTGGTTGCTGCCGCACTGTCAGGCTCCAAGTTCTTGTGCTTCGGGTTCTCCACCGTGGACGTCGCTGCGGTACCATTTATTTGTCTCCATGGGATATCCGAGTTCCGAGGAGCATCATGGGTATCTTGGACGCCTGCATGCATGAAACCGTCAACGAACCTTCGACGAGGAGATAAAAAAGAAATGTGTTTTCAGGCTGGGCTCAAAGACTAGTCTACCTTGGACCCTGTCAGCAGCAATTGTTGCACCATTGCTCGTGCCTACGAGCCCAGCCTATAGAGGGCGTAACATGCACTGTATCAGAAATAACGTCGTAAAAGACAAACGACATAGCGCTAACCATTCCTCTTGGGGGGCCACTAGACATTTGCGCTTGTTGATATTTTAGTATCGTCCAATCAAACACGTAATCGAATTGGAAACCTGCTCAGATAAGAAAGGCTGCTTGTTAGAGCGTACTCATGAAATATGCTGTAAAAGTAATAACCTTCTCGAATAAATAGATCGCGAAAGATTCTCTTCAAATACGCGTAGTCTGGTTTGTCGTCAAATCGAAGCGACCGACAATAATGAAAATATGAGTGAAATTCGGAAGGGTAACTCTTGCACAACGACTGCAAATAGCAGACAAGGAAAAAAAAATGTTAGCAATGACGCTGGAAGCGCCAAATACATTGCACCTCAATCGTTGTAGACATCTTCCTCTCGCTTATCTTCTCGTATTTCTGCTTCTTGGTTCCAGCCTTGAGTCCTTGCCATGGAAGACTAAATGGCAAAAGCTGTCATCAGTAATCACGCTGAGAACTTCACATACCTGCTTCGAAGGAAATACATGAGAACGTAGCCCAAAGACTCGAGATCATCCCTTCTACTTTGCTCTGCAATCTAAATGGGCTGAGAATCCAAACCAGAATCCAAACGGTCATAATTTTACTAACCGATTCCGAGGTGCGTATTGATACTCGCATAGCGTGCAGTTCCAGTCAGATTCTTGTTCTCTCTGCAGCAGCAGTCACAAAATGAAACAAAGACGAGCTTTTTTACCTGTAAGCGATGTGCTGGTGTGTAGAAGGATCACGGTACTTCTTGGCAAGACCAAAGTCGATAATATACACCTGGAAGTAATTACGTGATTCACATGCTCACGGGAAAAACAGTCGCGAACCTGATTTGCGCGCCTTCCAAGACCCATAAGAAAGTTATCTGGCTTAATATCCCGGTGCAAAAAGCTCTTTGAGTGCACATACTCCACTCTGTTTATCTGTGCCAGTTCAAATTAAGTGAGTTTTAAACACGCCGGCGACAAAGTACACGTACCAGTTGATCCGCAAGCATGAGCACGGTCTTCAGCGAGAACTTACGGTTACAAAAATTGAAAAGATCCTCAAGACTTGGGCCGAGCAGATCTAAAACTAGACCATTGTAATCCCCTTCGATTCCAAACCATCTTATGTTAGGTATTCCAGCTGCAGAAAAACCAGAATTTGTAAGCTTTGCATGTAAAATAAGAATAAGAGAGTAGGAACACACTTCCTCCCTGAAGGATTCTATACAGCTTAGACTCGTATAGCAATTGCGGGTGTTTGGTCTTGACGCTTTCCTACAATGCCCAAAAATTCGATCACATTCTCGACAAAACCTTCGAAAATAATCGCCACTAACCAATTTGATCGCAACTTCTTCGTTTGTTTGGATATTCGTACCTGTCACACATCACTTGAGCTCCCAAAACCCCTCATTGCTAATTTCCCTCTTACCTAGATAGATTTCGCCGAAAGATCCACTTCCAATCTTTCGACCGAGCCGATACTTGTTGCCTATGCGCGGCTCCATCCCGAATCTGGTGACCCTAGGATCTCATAGCAGTAGAGGCCCGGGGAAGAGAAATTGCCCGATTGAAAACCCTGAAAACCCTGATCGACACCGGCGATCGCCGCAGCGCCGCACGGATCAAGGCACCAGGACGCGATCTATCCACCTGTGACACGAATTCGATGGCGCCGGTGTGATCCCCTAGAACGCGCCCTACCAAGAAACAACGAAAAAGGAAAGGAAGAGACTCTGTGGGTTAACCCGGGTTAAGCACCAACAGCTGTGATGTGGCCACGTAGCGTCGGCAATGGACGGTTATTCCCACGAGCGTAGCACCTCGCTGGCGTGATCCAGTCCGTCCAAGCCGGGCTTGTCTTACGGCTGTCGGTTACCCGGACGCTGATATTCGCATCGCACGGCAGCATTCCTGCCAAGTGGGGGAGGCATCCGACGCTCGATTCTAGGATAGGATATGATAGCGATTATACAATACAGCTATGGGAAGACAACGCTTGATCGCTCAAGGATGTCGCAAGCACGATGGTCTCTCCACATTCTTTTTGTAGTAAAGGTTGGCACAAAATTTTTCCTCTTTACCATTTTTTAACTTAGACATATTGTCTAAAAATCGAAGTAAAGGATATCTCTTTGCCATTCTTTCTTTGAACATAGTTTAGCTGTTGTCTTTATACAAAACTGCATTTTTACCGGAAAAACGAAGTAAAAATCATACCTTGTCTATAGCTTGTGTCCCGGGAACCTGGAATCACAATCAAAATTGTTAGAGGCAAGAATTCGAAAGTTCCAAAACTTACTTCCATGGGATTTCACTCGTATCGATTCCGGACGCGTGAAGCATGTCCACATGCAAGAGCGCTTCCCTGCATTCTTCACGGTCGTCGTGATACTTCCTCTCCTTGCCGATGATTTGATACTTCTCGTGTCCTTTGCCCGCTATAACCTGGAAGAACCATCGCACAACTTCACGTCATTCACACGAGTAGATGCTTACCACTGCGTCCCCTTCTTCACCCATGGCAACCGCTGCTCGCACGGCGATCTTTCGGAGATCGTAGACAAACACCCTGTTGCCGTTCCATATGGGAGGATAGTAGCTCCTCTCGCCACACTTTAGATATTCGTCCATCGACCATCCGACACCAGCCAACATGTCGTCCAGAATTTCCACTGTTGAAAAGAAAGAGAGACAAGTGGATCAAACTCACGCTTTGCACAACTTCAAACTTACGGGGGTCCTCGGATCTCGGATTATCAGAAGTAAAAATGCAAACTTCGCTTTTTGCAGCAGCTATTTTAGCCATCACTGGTCGCTTTCCTCGATCTCTGTCTCCTCCACAGCCAACAACTGCACGGCAAGAACACACAAGAGTTAGAACAAGAAAACAATTTTCCGCAGCGCAGACAATTTACCTGTGATAATTCGCCGTGGACCACACTCTCGTACTGTGTCCAAAAGCCGAGACAAAGCGTCAGGAGTGTGCGCGTAATCAACGATGACGGCGAAGGGCTGTTCTTCGTCCACCAGTTCGACCCTTCCGGGAACGCTGTCCACCTCTTCTATCCCGCGAACAATATCTTCTAGTGGAGCATCAACAGCAATCCCCACTGAAACAGCCGCGAGAATGTTGTACACGTTGTGTCTTCCCAAAAGGCCTGACGATATCTCGATGTTCCCTCGGGGTGTCTTGACGAGAACGTTCGTCTCGAACAGTGTAAGTTGGATGTCGAGAGGATGCACATCAGCAGACTTTTCCATGCCGAACGTAACCACTGGCACTTTCGGATTTCCCAGCGAAACGAAGTAGCCTGCATTTGGATCGTCTATGTTAACGACTTTCCTGTGCCTCGCAGGGTCGACCATGCTGGCGAAAAGCTTTCCCTTGGCTTCCTTGTAACTGTCCTCGTTCTCGTGGTAGTCCATATGATCCCGAGTTAAATTCGTAAACACCGCAACGTCGAAATCGATTTCCTTGCACCGGTCCTGAGCAAGAGCGTGGGACGAAACCTCCATCACGCAGACCTCCGTCCTGTTATGAACCATCGTCGCCATCAACTTCTGGAGATAAACAGCGTCGGGAGTAGTGTGAGGAGCGTCTTGCTTGTGCTTTCCATGGATGGAGTAAGATATGGTACCGATCAAACCAGTCTTTAGTCCCATAGACTCGTAGATGCTTCTTAGAAGATAGGACGTAGTCGTTTTGCCATTGGTACCTGTGATGCCAACCACGGCCAAACTTTCCGACGGACGTCCATAGAAAGCACCAGCGAGAGCCGACAGGATCGAGTTCGTGTCACTGACTATCACCACTGCCTTGACGCTCTCACCGATCTCCACTTCTTTGGTGGCGACGATAACCACGGCTCCCTGCTCGGCTGCTTGAGGAACGAAGCTATGGCCGTCGGATGTTTCTCCAATGCAGCACACGAACATGTCGCCCGAGTTTACTTGACGGGAGTCGTGATGGATTCCAGAGATGATCACGTCCAAGTCTCCTTCCACAGACAATGGCACGACTTTGGCTTCGTCCAGGAGCTCCGTGAGTGTCATCTTGAATCTCGGTTCCTTGATCACACTCTCCTGGAGCTCTCCAAGCTCCAAGTTGAAAGATGGATCGTCCTTGTCAACTTTCACCTTTGGTGGGGGCGGAGCCTCCTCTGGTATGGATGCTTGTGCTCCTTCACCCTTTTCTTCCTCCTCTTCACTTCCATCGGATTCTTCCGAGGATTTCACCACCACATTCGCTGCTCGTCGCTTGGAAACCTTAGAAGCTTCATACCTCTCCCCCAAATCCTTGAGCTTGTTGAACATAGACGAGCTGTTCGCCACGCCATTCACCGCCGCCTTGTCCTGATCCGGTCCGCCATTCTTTCTCGGCTGGAACGCCTCCTCGGGCCCCTCCGCCTCAGGCGGATCATTTCCTGCCGAATCCGCATACCTGTGCTCGCCCTCGCCATCGCCTCCTCGTCGCGGCTTGCGCCCTCGGCTCCTGGTCGCGCACACAGCCACGGATCGATCGGAGCAAACCCTGGCGCCATTCCAGCCCGCGCGAGGCTGCGCAAGAACCCTAGACAGCGGCAATGGGCAAGAAAATGCGGCCAACGCCATGGACGAAGGTTTAAACCAGGGGCTAACGTCATATTCCAGCATCTACCAGAATATCCGGGAGAATAGTAGTACTGTCGAAACGGATGTAGCACAATTATCTTTGCCTTGATATACTTCAAGCATGGCTAAGGACGTCGACAAGCTTTTAGGGTTCTCTATAGACGATCCTAGCTATGTGACCGAGCACTATGACGCGGTATACAATATCACGACTGAGCTAGTAACTCGGTGAAGTTCTTACACCATACTTGGGGCCTAAAGGAGGAGTGAAAGCTGCGCATATTGTTCGTGAATGAGGTGGGATGTTTGTTCTTGCGGAATCCAAAAAGTCATGGAACTCATTCTTGAAACAATTTAAAATTTTATTCATGAAAAATGCGTCATTAAAATAAATGAAGAATTACTTTACTTTTTATTTACCACTTTTATTGTATTTGCCATAGCTTACAAATCCTAATTTTGTCTAAAGTTTAGGGTTTTCTAAGTAGACATGGTGAGTGAGGATATGCTGCAAAGCGGAGGAAACTCGGATGCTTGAGATCTTTGTGCAAGCCAGATCGAAGCTAAGGACATCAACTTTGCCAAGAGCTTTTGGGATGCGCTAGACGATCCCGAGTACGTGACGGAGCACCATGACGCGGTCTACAATATCACAACTACGCTCTTGGCTGATTACCTCCCGGAGAGTCCTACACCATACCGGGTCCTTAAAGGAGGAGTGGAAACCGATGGTATACTGATGGTGAACAGGGTGGGAGTTCTCTTCCTGGACTGGAAACCCCAGTCGGGAACTGGTGGAAATCCTTTTTTCGAGAATCTGGAGGATTACTTGAGACGCGCTGGACTTGAGGCATGGATACGCGCTCGCCATCAACGTGGAAGGCCGGCTCCTGCATGTCGTCGCTGCGTCTCTGGAAAGCGAGCTCAGAGTTTGGGCCGAGCCCGTCGCAGTGACGACGTGCTATGGAAATTTTGAGCAGCTCAAGACGACTGCCCGGATCTGGAGGGCCATTCGCATCTTCGTGGAGGAAGCGAGCCGCAAAGGACTCCTCGCGAGGCTGCAAGGCACGGCCATCCCTTGGCCGCTGAGGGACCTTGACAACGTCGTACAGCCGCATGACAGCAAGCTCTTCTTCACGCTTCGAAACTCGAGCGGAGAGATGGAAGCAGTCAAGTTTGCGTCGAGCTACTCGGGTGAGAACGCACTGGCGCTCAAAGCTGTGAAGCAAATCAGCGTGGACTGGTGGATGGTAAGCATGGAGTACCTCTCTCGTGACGCTGGGTGGGTGTCCGCAGTGGACGTGGTAGAAGGCGCTCGCAAAGACACAAATCATCTTGCCAAGATCAAGTCCTGCATTGCTCCTGCTGCGGCCACCGGACACTCGAAAGGTTTTGTGCACGGAGACTTGCGCCTGTGCAATGTTATGCTGAGAGCTAAAACTGAGGGCGGCCTGCCGGAGTATGAGGGAGTGGCCCCCTGGAGCGGACTTTGGCATGGCGATCAAGCAGGAGCACGATTATTCATAGACAAACTATGTTGATTAGCACACTCGGATTTTTGCTGACAACTTCACTCTTTCGATTCGATTTCTTTGCTCAGGATGCTGCCATGACCGAACAACGAACAGTACCTGATGGCGAGGAAAGTTGCAGTGTTGAAGATCTTTGCAGACGGGTTTATGGCTTGCAGGTGAGGCGACACTATCCTTGAGAAGAAAGGATATATTCGAAGGGGCATGGTCAGTGCAGCTTTTCAACAGAGCGGTCCCAGCGTTCGAGAGTTTCTCGACGACACGAAAACTTCTACCATGGATCAGGACAAACGTGTTCTGGAGACTCTGGAGTCGAGGCTGAAGAGCGTCTTGACAGTGATAGCAGCCGGGGCTTCATGCTGTAAGTTGGCCCGAGTTACGGAAGTCTGGCACCCGAGACTCCGGGCTCGTGCTGTATGGAGACTGACTTTCCGGAACCCGTGACAGTGGTTCGCCATGCATCTTCAAGCTCACGAGCAATGGTTCCAGTGTTCAGCGAAGACACTTTTACGTGCACCGTCTTCTGGATCTTCCGGAGAAGCATCAACAGCCGCATGAAGCTCGATACTGTGGAGTCTGGATTCCAGTCGTGGCTCGACTTCCATGGAAGCAATGGCCTTGAGCGAGAGAGGCTCAGTTTGCTGAATTCGTAATCAAAGCGGAGCTCGGGATTCTCGGAAGTTGGAGCAGAAGACGAGCCAGGAGGAAAATGGCTAAGCATCGTCTCTAAGGTGGAAGCACAATGGAACTCTTGGAGCTTCGGCAATGCCATAGTCTTCCTTGCTTGTATCTAAAGTTCGTTTCTTTGTTCTCCAGCAGCCGAGTAGCATACTCGCTTCAAGCTGCCGGTTTTGAATCGCCATCGACAGGCCAATGCACAAGCTCTATGCAGTGATCATCTACCCGGCCATAACTCTCGCAGGATTCCTCGGAGATCGCGGCGATCTTCACTCGCGTGATTTCTAAAACTTTCGCTGCTACAAGAGCTCAACAAATCTCATAGCGAGAAAGAGGTGGTAAAGCGATCCCATAAGAACAAAGTCATCACAAGCTGGGGAAGAAAATCCAGGAGAAGAAAGAGGAGTACCGCTGCTTTAGAGGAGGATGAGGGCTTTCCATCGACGGGTAGAGAGGAGCTCCACCCGAGAGAGTTCCATCACCACTATTCTACTTTGGGTGCTCTTTCCTCCTTGGCGAGGTAGCGAAGGGCTAGAGCGAAGCACAGGATGAAGAAAGGGACGACGAATTGGAGCACCTTGATGAGGAGATCGCTACGATCCGGCGCCGATGGGGCCGCTTGAGTCGAAGATCCCGAGTAGGAGTACGATGGCTTGCTGGGAAATGTGGACGCGTTCGCTCTCCCGATCACGTATTCCTTCATCATCGCTCGCGCGCTGTTGCTGTGGCCGACGTTCTCGAAATCATCCGTGGCATCCTTGCCTAGAAAGGACGAAGAATATCGAATCAAATCTTTCGAGAACCAAGAAAAAAAAAAAGAGGAACCAGGTCTATCGAATCAAATCTTTCGAGAACCAAGAAAAAAAAAAAGAGGAACAAGGTCTGGACCTGTCGATGCGATAATCACCTCATCTCCGCCGGGATGATCCAGCAGGAACTTCGTCACATCGTAGACCTGAAGATCAATCAATTCAAGAGCGAGGGAGGGGCAAGTCAATCCAAGCGAACAAATCTCTCCACCTTGCCATCGACAACGATCCAGCAATCGTCCCTGGTGGAGTGCTTCAACACATCCTCCAATGTGTAGAGCGCCGTCTCCAACTCCCCCGCGCCGGAGAAGCTCTCGCCCATAGATTCGCCAAAGAAAACAAAGAACCCTAATTCTGGGAGAATATGCTTACCGGGCGATCGGCGTATATCTCCGGTGGGATACGCCCATAGCGCCCGGGCGATCTCCCGCGAGGGAGGGGGGAGCGTAGCTGGGGTTTTGGCATTCGCCATAGCCCGCCATACCGGCATTGGCGGGCAGTGCGAGTGATTTTCACGCTCTCGATGGAGACGATCGCCGATGCTCCAGGGCAGCGCAATTGCTAAGGCCGTGTGATGAGAGGATCGATCGTCGCGCTGCCATCGCTACCGCTGCTGCTCGACGAATTGGGGTTTGCGACAATGCGCGCCGGTGATCGCTGGAGCGGGAATCTCGCCCGGCGCTGGCGAGTTCGGGGCAGAGTAGCCGGGCGGCGGCCAATGCGGGAGCTCCGGCTAGGTTTGTCCGCCCTCTCCCAGCTCCAAATCTCTCGCAGCTCCATCGCTACGTCGCAACCCTAGTGGGATCGTCTCTAGGGTTTAGTCGCGCTCGGGCACGCACAGCGTAGGTTTCTGGGCAGATCATAGATTACAATTGGGGGAGAGGAAGAAGATCATCGCAGTAGCATTGGACAGGTGATGGGATTTGTATGAGATGCCAGCGTCTCAGCCAGCCGCCGCGCGTATCAACTTACAGGAGCTCAAAGCCCGGCTCTCCAAGATCCTGGGACCGGACAAGGAGAGCCAATACTTTAGCATTTTTTCCAGATTTTTGAGCCACCGGCTGAGCAAGACCGAGCTCGACCGCCAAGTGGTGCTCGCCATCGGCAAGGAGAACGTAGCTCTCCACAACCAGCTGGTGCGAGCGATCCTCTACAATGCCGCGGTGTGCTCCCCCCAGGCGCCGCTCCCGCCGCTGCCCGCCGCCGCCGCCGCGATCCTCACGTCGCCTCGCAAGAACAGGACGGGGATCCGCAAGGCAAAGGAGACCTTGAAGCGTCCGCGTCTCGTTCCCGGCCACCACCTCGACAAAGCTTCGCCGAGAGAGGACGGCGCCGCCGCCGCGATCACCACCACCACCACCTCTCCTCTCTCCGCGGAAGAGGCGGCGGCGGCCGACGAGCAGCAGCAAGAGTGTACATTATGGAACGCCTGGTCGGTGCGAGCGCCGCTAGGGACACCGTTTTGCGTGGGAAGTGTGGGATCGGCCCAGCGAGCGGCGGTGTTGAAGCAGCCGCCACACCACCATCACCACCACCACCACCACCACCACCACCACCTTACACATTCTTTAGTAGGGGATAGTATAGAGGACGAGTGCCTGGAAGCAAGTGATCTGCCAGATGGAGATGGCATGCGGCGACGCATGGAAGAAGTTGCTATAGTGGAGCAGGGACTACAGGGGGTGAGCCACGAGTGCGGGCATGTACTCAACCAGGCGCTCGACGTTTACCTCAAGCGGATCATCGGAGCTTCCGTGGAGTTTGTACAGTCGAGGAGGAAAGATGGAGGAGACAAGCAGCAGCATGGATTCCAGAGCTCAACGTCGGCAGCGGCGGCACTGAATGGTGTGGTTTGGGGTGGATCTTCGCACCACCTCTTGCAAGGCCCGGCAGGAGTGGTGGAGTCGAAACAGCTTGTTGGTGGTGCTGGTGCTGGTACTGGTGCTGCCGCTGCTGGGCAGATCTCGGCGTTGGATTTCAAGGTGGCGATGGAGGCCAACCCGCAGCTGCTGGGAGAGAACCAGCCGCTTCACCTGGAGCGGATCATGCTGCGGGTGTTTGACGAGCAGGAGAAGCGAAACTTTCGTCGCCACCATGAGCAGCAGTTGCAACCATCGGCGCAGCTGCAACCATTGCCAGCATTGCAGCAACCGCAGTTACAACCATCACAGCATCAACATCAACATCAACAACACCAACACCAGCAGCAGCAGCAGCAGCGGCAGCAGCACCATCACCACCTTCACCACCACCACCATCATCAGCAGCAGGCACAACACCAGCATCAGCAGGAGCTACAACACCAGCAGCAGCAGCAGCAGCAGCAGCAGCGACAAGTTTTGTAATAGTTCTCAAGCACAGGTTCTTGTGATTTCTACTTCTCTTCTCTCCTCCATCTTTTCTTCGTTTACTCCCCTCTCCCCCTGGGTTTACTCTCGTTGTGTATCAACACACATTCCTTTTGGAGTTTGGAATGGGGAACCACTGTAGCAAAGCTTCTCTTTCTCTCTAATGACGGAATTGACCATCGTTGACTTCCATGGACGTTGACTCTTGTGTTGACTTTGATGGACCGCAAGCAGTGTGTGGCGCTTGTGCGGTCTTGTAAGACTCTGTGCGAGGCAAAAAAAATCCATGCCCGGGTTACACTAGTGACGGGCTGTGACGTTTTCGTCGCCAACAAGTTAGTTGAGATGTACGGCCGGTGCGGGAGCGCAAGCGATGCTAGGCGGGTGTTTGACGGGCTGCCGTACAAAGATTCCTTCTCTTGGAATCTCATGCTGACAGCATATGCTCGGAACGGGCATCTGCGGGAGGCAAAGCGGCTGTTTGACGTGATGGTTGAGAGGGACAAGATCTCTTGGACGGTGATGTTGGTTTTGTTCTCCGAGAAGGGCTTTCTGATCGATGCGGCTGATTTGTTTTACAGAATGCCAGAATGGGATATTGTAGCGTGGAACTCGATGCTTTTAGCGCATGCCCATTACGGGCATCTAGATGATGTTCTTCAAATTCTTTACGAAATGCCTGAATGGGGCGCGGTCTCCGTTAATGCGCTTCTTGTAGCTTACAAAAGCCACGGCTGTCTCGATAAGTGCTTTGATATGTTCGATTCTCTGCCAGAAAGAGATTTGAAACTCTGGAGTGCGATGCACTCGGCAATTGCCACTCTTGGGCATCCGGAACAAGTCTGGAACTTCTTTCATAAGATGCCCGAGTGGGACTTGGTATCTTCAACGACGATGCTGGCTTCTCTGTCTCAAACTGATAAGCTCCACAAAGCAAATAGAATCTTCCAAATGATGCCCCAGAAGAACATAGTTTCATGGACAGCAATCATAAACGCCCACGTCCGCAGTGGAGATTTGCACCAGGCAGCCACCTTGTATGAGTCAATGCCCGAGTGGGATTTGGAATCCTCCACAGCCATGATCACGGCATATGCTGAATACGGAGCCGTAGCACGGGCCAAATCTGTGTACGACAGCATGAAAGAAAGGAGCATGGCCTCGTGCACAGCCTTGTTATCTGCGTACAGTCATGCCGGGGATTTGGAAAATGCCGTGAGAGCGATGGACTGGATGCCGGAGCACAACCAAACATCGTCGCTAACAATGGTTCTGGCATTTGCCCGGTATGGGCATCTGGGCGATGCGCAAACGCTGTACGAACAGATTCCGGAACGGAATGTGGCGGCATCGACGGCCATGGTCGCTGCCTTTGTCTACGCTGGCCACGTGGACGGTGCCAGACAGACCTTTGACAGAATGCCTGAGGCGGATCTGGTCGCGTGGACGGCCATGATTGCAGCGTATGCCCAGAGTGGTCATTCGTCGAGCGCGATTGATCTCTACAATGCGATGGTGATGGTGGAGTTCCCGGATGGAGTGAGCTTCCTGTCTCTTTTAATTGCTAAAACCCACGCAGGCAAGACACGGGAGGCAAGAGATTGCTTTGTCTCGATGGCATTTGATTATGGGATTGCTCCCACCAAGCAGCACTACTGCTGCGTGCTTGATCTCTTGGGCAGGAGTGGACGACTCGGAGAAGCGAGAGATCTAATGGAAACAATGCCATTTGTGCCAGATGCGCTCGAAATGAGGTGTTTCTTGGGAGCTTGCAAGGCGAGGTGGAAAGAATTTGTAAAGTATGGCGCAAAGGAGGCTATAGAATTCGATCATAGGGACCCCGCAGCGTATGTAATAGTAGCAAACGCTCTCACAAATTAATTACTCCATTGGCAAGCCGAGCCCCTCGACGACGTATCTAGGGTTTATGGCGTTCCGGAGAAAGGTCGTGGAGCGCCTCACTTCGACTGGCCTTCCCGGCAGCGCTCCTCCGCGAGGTAAGCCAGAGGTTTCTCTCCAGAGCTACATTTTTGGATTCAGGATCCAGGGAGCGGTGGCATCCCCGGATCATCGATGTTACCACGGCGGACGACTACAAGCACTTGCTACACAAAATCAAAGCGAGTAAGTCCTCCTCTCATTCATTGCCAATGCCAATGAAGTGATTTTTCTCTTCTCCATTTTTCCTCTGCCTAGCTCCGATCTCCTTCGGCGTTGTGTTCTTCACGTCGGAGGAGCGTTCCAATTCATGTAAGTGCCTCTTTCTTTCTCTCAAGATTGAGATCCGCTTGTGTGTCTAGGCCAGGAATCCGAGGACGCTGTGTACAAAATAGCCAAGAGAAATTCAGAGGTGACATTTTTGAGGCTCGAGGTGGAAGAGGTATCAAAACAATGGAAGACAAGATTTCATGCACATCTCAACGTCGATCTCTTTGTTTGACAGGAGGGAATCCAAGAGATTGTGGGGCAAATAGACACATCACGACTGGTAATGTTTCCTCTCTTGTCGCATTTTTGAGCTTCAAATCGTTCCTTTGCCTGGCTTGTGTGTAGCCAACCTTTTATTTCTACAAGGGAGGAGATGTGGTGGGAAAGCTCATCGGATCGTCTCCTTCCAAGCTCGAGGACTTGGTGGTGAGCTTCATCCATCACAAGGAACTAAGACGCCACATACGCGTCAACGAGTTCTAGCCAGGAAGCTTTGCAGCTATTCAAATGAGTGTGTTGTTTCATACAAGCTTTTTATTTTTATTTTCAATTTTAGTAGTACTAAGATATTTAATTAGAATTTCTAAAAATATATCTTCATTAAGCATGAAATGGTAAAATAAAAATAACAAAAGTAAAAAATTAATATAATAAAAGATTATTATCATATCTTTTAAATATAACAGAAAACAAATGTTGTGAAGACGTTAATTCATTATTTTGCTAAAGATTAAGATGTTTATTGAATCATAAAGCTGTAGTAGAAGTAATTTGTTTTCTTTATAAAAAAGATTGAATATTTCTTTATGAATATTTAAGATTTCTTTTCATTCAAAATGAAAAGAACTTTTATATACTATCTTCAAACTATAATAAAGACTACATCTATTAATTTAAACTTTACTTTTTTTATATGCATAATAACACATTAACAAAAAAAATAATTATAAAGTTGTTAGGATTTCACTATATAATTTAAACCATTAAGAAAATCTAAACAATTAAAAGAAACTAGAAAAGATTCTTAAAGAAAAAACTATTATAAAACTTCTCTCCATATAATTTTGTATTTTAGGTTATTGTGTTAACAACAGAATAAATTACTATAAGCATTTTTTTTTACAAAATCACAATATATGTTACAAATAAATAGAAAGCATCTCATTTTATTTATTAATGATACATACTTCGGAGCACCAAAGGATGGCATGGCCTTCAAAGAAGAGCACAAGCCAAGCAAAACTTTAATAACAAAACTTTATAAATGATAAACTAATGTATATACAACTTTCTGTTACATGAAATTAGTCCTAATTAAACGTGTGGATTATAGAGCGCCTGAGGTCTACATTTTCGTGTGTGTGAGGAGCCACCGAGGAGGAACACCTAGGGTTCTACAGGACCGTCTGGTAAGTAAAGCTCTCCCAGAGCTCCAGAGCTCCTCTCCCTCATCGATCTCCTCCCAGGCGCAAGCGCAAGCGAGCATGGACGCCACAGCTCTGTCGCGCATCGGCCTGGCCGGCCTGGCCGTCATGGGCCAGAATCTGGCGCTCAACATCGGCGAGAAGGGCTTCCCCATCTCCGTCTACAATCGCACCGCCAGCAAGGTGGACGAGACCGTGGAGCGCGCCAAGGCGGAGGGAAATCTCCCCCTCGCCGGCTACCGCAACCCGCAGGACTTCGTCCTCTCCATCCAGCGCCCCCGATCCGTGATCATCCTCGTCAAGGCCGGCGCCCCGGTGGATCAGACCATTGCCACGCTCGCCCAGTTCATGGAGCCCGGCGACTGCATCATCGACGGCGGCAACGAGTGGTACGAGAACACCGAGAGGAGGATCGCCGCCGCCAAGGAGAAGGGTCTCCTCTACCTGGGGATGGGAGTCTCCGGTGGCGAGGAGGGCGCCCGCCATGGCCCGTCTCTCATGCCTGGAGGGACGCCCGAGGCCTACCGCTACGTCGAGGACGTCGTCAAGAAGATCGCGGCCCAGGTAGACGATGGTCCGTGCGTCACCTACGTCGGCCCCGGCGGAGCTGGGAACTTCGTCAAGATGGTCCACAATGGGATCGAGTATGGCGACATGCAGCTCATCTCCGAGGCCTACGACGTCCTCAAGTCGGTCGGCGGCCTCACCAACGAGGAGCTCCACCAAGTTTTCGCGGAGTGGAACCGTGGCGAGCTCGAGAGCTTCCTGGTGGAGATCACCGCGGACATCTTCTCCGTCAAGGATGACAAGGCTGGTGGCGACCTCGTTGACAAGATCTTGGACAAGACTGGGATGAAAGGCACTGGGAAGTGGACTGTCCAGCAGGCTGCCGAGCTCTCCATCGCGGCTCCCACCATAGCTGCGTCGCTCGACTCGCGGTTCTTGAGCGGGCTCAAGGAGGAGCGCGTTGCTGCCGCTGCTATCTTTGCCGAGGCTGGGCTGCCCGATGTGCTCAACCACGTCGCGGTGGACAAGAAGCAGCTGGTTGATGATGTGAGGAAGGCGCTGTACGCGTCCAAGATCTGCAGCTATGCGCAGGGGATGAATCTGCTGCGAGCCAAGAGCCTGGAGCAGGGGTGGAAGCTCGACTTGGGCGAGCTTGCCAGGATCTGGAAAGGTGGCTGTATCATCCGGGCCGTGTTCCTGGACCGGATCAAGAAGGCGTACGATCGGAACTCGAACCTGGCGAGCTTGTTGATCGATCCTGAGTTTGCGAAGGAGATGGTGGAGCGGCAGGCGGCGTGGAGGAGAGTGGTGAGCCTGGCTGTGAGTGCGGGGATTAGTACTCCTGGCATGACTGCGAGCTTGGCTTACTTCGATACTTACCGTCGAGGGAGACTTCCGGCCAATCTCGTCCAGGCCCAGCGCGACTACTTCGGTGCGCACACTTACGAGCGAGTGGATATGAGCGGCTCCTTCCACACTGAGTGGCACAAGCTGGCCAAGCACAGCACCAACCTCCGGGCGCTCATCTGAAAGCAAGCAAGCACGGGAGACGAAGAAGAGCGATCAGGTTCGCTAAGAAAAGAAAAATAAGAGGAACTCTTACCAGGCAGGCAGGCAAGTTGAATTGCTTGTACGTCTAGTTTTGGTTTTGGTAGTGGCTCGCTCCATTTTGATTCTTGGAGCAGCTTGATCTTGTTGCTCATTTTTGTGGTTTTTGGTCACTCTCTCAGTTGCTAATAAGCTATATGTCGTACTTTTAATCGTTCGCGTAAAAGCTCTTCCACCTAGAACACGCAAGCACGTATCAGTAGAACACCGTGATTTCTTGCGTAAACGCTTACGGGTGTTCGGTCTTTATCATCACGAATCGGCGCAGCTGAAACAAATATCAAAGGACAGTTTAAACGCAGTTCATGAAAGAAAGTTTCTACTCACACTGGTTGACCACTGTTCGTCAGCTTGAATCTCCATGACGAGCATCACCTCTCAAGAAATGTCGCCAAGACTCCTTTCTCTTGGTCCAGAGTCGTGCAGTCGAGAGCCGGCACTGATCTTGCTCCGCTGCTTGCGTGACAGCCTCGAGAGCAAGCCATGCTTTCTCTTCTCGTCCGGGACAGCGTAGATGTTGTAGAGTAGCACGTAAGGCGCGGAGCTCTCGGGCTGGAGCTTCACCACTCTCTCGGCAGCAAGCTCGGCTCTCTTTAAGTCGCCATGGACCTTGCAAAGGTTGAGGAACGTCGTCCAAGTCAGCGGGTCGGCCTCGTAAGGCATGGTGTGGAGAACGTCCTCGGCTCTCTGGAGCTGGCCACACCGTCCGAGGTTGTCGATGAGGAGATTGAAATGCTCCACCCCGGGGACCAAGCCGTGGTCCTCGACCATGGACACGAACATCACCTCGCCTTGAGAGAGCAAACCGACGTGGTTGCATGTAAGTAGCACCCCCGTGAAAGTTACGTTGTCCGGCCTCGTCCCGTCCAGCACCATCGCCTGGAAGACGAGCATTCCACAGTCCCCTTGCCCGCTCTGTGCATATCCGTGGATTATCATGTTCCACGAGACCACGTCCACCTCCGGCAGATCGTAAAGCAAGTACTCCCTGGCGGTGTCGACGCGACCCTTCTGAGCGTTGAGGAACAGGATGGAGTTCCAGATCCATACCGTCCTGGCCGGGAACTTATTGAAGAGTGACTTCGCTCCATCAAAGTGACCGTTCTCAGCAAAGGCAGTGAGGAGCACCGACCACGCAGGAGCTGTCCGGCACGGCATTGTGTCGAAGAGTCGTTTGGCCGTCTGGACATCTTCGTTCATCCCGTAGGCTCGAATCATGCACGTCCAGGCCACCGAGTCCGGCTCCGGCATGGAGTCGAACAAGCGCTTGGCTTCCTCGAGGTGGCCGTTCTCTCCAAGAGCTTGCATCACAGCACTCCAAGCTATGGTGTCCCTGAGCGGCATGGCTTGGAACATCTTGGTCGCGGTCTCGACGTATCCCTGTTCCCCAAAGCCTTGAAGTGCTGCAGTCCAGGAGACGATATCCCGCTCCGGCATGCTCCAAAACAAGCTGCTCGCTTTCTCGAGATGTCCGTTCTGGGCATAAGCCACCAGCATGACGTTCCAAGTCACTACGTTCTGGCTCGGCATCCTCGCAAACATCCTGCCAGCCGAGTCCAAATGCGCGTTCTGTGCGTATTCCGCAATGATGGCTGTCCACGATGCCGCATCCCTGTATGGCATTCGATCGAAGAGCTGCTTTGCGTCTTCCAGCCTCCGTCCCTTGGCATACCCCTGGATCATGTAGTTCCACGAGAGTGTGTTCCATTGGGGGATCCTCTCGAACAGTATCCTTGCTTCGTCGAGCCGGCCGTGTTGACACAGCGAGGAGACGACGGTTGTCCAGGAGGTGAGGTTGAGCTGCGGCATGACTTGGAACATCGAGCACGCCTCGTCGAGATGCCCGTGACGGGCATATCCAGTCAAGAGAGCGTTCCAGGTCACCACGTTCCACTGCGGCATCTTGTCGAAGAAATCGCTGGCTTCCCGGAGTCGAGAGTGTTCAGCGAAGCCACTGACCATGCTGGTCCAGGACACCACCCCCTTGTCTCGCATCGAGTCGAACATCTCCTTGGCCTCCCGGAGATACCCGTTCTGGGTATAGGCCGTGAGCATAATCGTGTTGCCGTGAACGCCTGGGTCCTCGACTTTGTCGTAGATCTTGCGAGCTTCGGCAACGCTGCCGCATTTTCCGAACATGTTGATGAGGAGGTTTGCGAGGAAGACGCTGTCGTAGTGCAAACTCTTGAGAATCAGTTGATGGGCCTGCCTGCCCTGTTGAAGATCCTTGCACTCGGTGCACGATCTCACGAGTTGGACGTAGTAATGAATGTCGTGTGGCGGTGGACAGTACCTGAGTGGCTTTGCAGATAGCATCCCAGATGAGAATCACCACTTTGTTGATCGTCATAGTCTTATCTTGCTAATGTAGTGAGGCAAACCCATCTCTGGCAACGGGATACCATACTCTGCGAGCTTCGCTTCGAAATTTCTCATGATAGTAGTATATGCCTGAAAAATCAGAGAATATCAGTTTGAAAACATTTAGAGGTTTGATACATACCTTCGTTACCCGTCCCAACTCGTAATACAAAGTCTTGATCTGTTGATTCTTTGCTTCCAACATCTTGTCAATGCCATACTTCACAAGATGCACTGTAGCAGGATCCATTTTGCCATTCCCCAATGCCTCTCCAAGTTGTGCTTCCTGTAGGACTTTCTTACTTTTTCTCTACAGTCTCTAGGCACAAAAGTGTACCTTCTTTTCGAGCTGTTCCCCAAGCACCTGGACTTGTCTCTGAAGGAGGGTGCTTTTTACACCGCACTTTTGTTGGACATCAAAGACACAAGCTTCAAATCTTGCGTACAGATCGTCCCGATCAGCTTGGACCTGTTTCATGAAGTAAGCAAGGATGTTGAGCATAAGCAAAACAACAAGCAGCTTACTTTTTCAAGTTTATCCAAAACTATCCTATATTCCCACTCGAGCTGGCTTGTGTGCTTCAGAACATCTGAATGTTGGCCTCGTAGTTGCAGTAGTGATTGTCGATCCTGCATATGACGTTTATATTTTCGAGAGGAAACCAGTATCCTAATTACCTTTTCGTGGCTGTCCAGCTGTTTTCTCAGGCTTTCAACTTCTTTCAGAGACCGTGTCAAAGGTTCTGTCAGCCTCTTGTTTTCTTGCGAGATCTCGTACATAAGCTTTTCATTTGCTTGTTCTTTTCTCTTCATGTCGTTGATATCTTCCTGTTTTAAAGGCGCAGCTTAGAAAGACGGCACTCACGCGCTCAAACAAAAGGTACCTTCAGCGTCTTAATGAGGTCAAGGTTGTTCTGAGTGATATCATTGTAGTAGCATTTGATTTCAGAGAAAGCTTTTTCGTGCTTTTTTATAAGCTCTGAAATATGCAAGTTTTTACGCTCTTCAATTTCATGAATCTCTTGTTTTCTGCGAAGATCGTTTTCGGCTTGCACTTGTCTCATCTGGCAAAGGTAAAACGCTATGAAATATAGGAAGCCAAAGAAAACAGACGCACCTTTTTCTCCGTTTTAAGCAGCAAATCCTTGGCATTTATATCAAACTCTCGCCTCATTTTGGTAATCTCCTTTGCGTGATCCTACCAGAACAAGTTGCCCAAGTTGTAAACAAGACGACAGTGCCAGCAAAAAACTCCCACCTGTTTCATTTGCTTCAGTTGTTCTTCGTAACTCAGCTCAACCTCCCTGATCTTATCTTTCAAGTCACGCTGTTCGTCCCTGCAGATATTTCCCAGAGCTGTCATGAGACAAGCCCGTCAGCTCCAGATCTTACGGTAAGTCGTTAGTTTGAAACGAAAAGAAGAAAAACAGAAATGGAGAACTTACAAGAGCTGGCTTTCTCGAGTGGCTGCTTCTTCTCGCTGTAGCTTCAAAGCAAGCTCGTTATCCCCCTTGACAGTACTCACGAGAACTTGTTGCTCATATAGAAGATGCTTCATCTTCTGGCTGAAAACCTGTAGAGAAAAAAAAACTATGAGCATAGAGATCAATACTGTACGAAAAAAAACAATGGATTGCCTTGAGGTCAGTTTGATGCTTCTCAGCAATCTCCTCCATTTGTCTATCCTTGATCCGCAGTTCCGCCTCCGCATGCTCCCTTTCTTTCTTTTTGATTTCCATGAAACAATTTAGCTTGTCCTGCTCGGCCAATATTACTCGAGAAATCCACGGAGCGCTACTACGAATCCTAACCAGAATCACGAGCTTACCCTCTCAATCTGCGAGCGATTTCTCTGCTTGGCCTCCTTGTCTCTCTCGGCAGTGATCCCATCGATCTGAGCTTGAAGCTCCTGTATGCTCGGCCCAGCATCCACAGCCGCCGCTGCCGCATCCTTCCCTTTGCCCTTACCGGCATCCTTCTTCTTTGGCGCCATAGCTACAGCTCCTCACAAGAGAGTGAAACCCTGGTAGAATGTGACGAAAGAATGACACGCTACATTCTCTTACTCGATCGCGCACCGTCGGATCTCACACTTGCGCATCCGACCGTCCGCTCACTCCCGCCCTTTGGCGCAAAACCGCCTTTGAAACTCAAGAGCCCTAGAGCCCTGAATATTCCACCGAATAATTTTCGAATTTAAAAAAGAACAAGCATCAGGACTCCCGGTTCTCACTCTTTTCTTTCTCCGAGAGTCCCGTAAAGCTTGTTCTCTTTCTTCCTTGCAAACGCTGCATGCTAGAGCTAGACATTGATGAAAAGAACGAAAAATTAGAACGAGAAACCAACCTGCAAGAAGATCATCAGATCACGAAGAAGAGCTCCTGGAGATGGAGTTGCTATTGTCGATGCCGGGCAGAGGCCTTACGAGCTCGAGAATCTGGACGACTTCCGCCATGCTCGGCCTGTTCGAAGGGAGCGGCGACGAGCAAATCAATCCCAGCTTGATGACCGGCAAAACTTCGTCCTCCGGAGAAGCCTCCAGGCTCGGCTCCACGCAGCTCATCCCCCGGCCTTCGTTGAGCAAAGCCCGGACGTAGTCGCAGAGTATGACAACGTCTTCTTCCATGTACTCGACAGGCCTTCTTCCAGTCACTAGCTCCAAGAGTATGATCCCAAAGCCATAGACGTCGCACTTCTCGGTCACTTTGGAGCTCTGGGACGCAAACTCGGGAGCCATGTAGCCGAGAGCTCCTTGGAACTTGCTGCTGATGGCGTAGCGGTCCAGTACAGGGAGAAGATTTGCGAGTCCGTAGTCCGAGATGAGTGGCCTGTTGTCCACACCCAGAAGAATGTTGTTCGACTTGAGATCGTAGTGTATCACCTGCGGCTGGCAGGAGTGATGGAGATGCGAGAGTCCCATTGCTGTTCCCTGTGCGATCTTAAACCTCTCAGACCAGCTCAGTGGAGGCTCGCCAAATGTTCGTTCGTGAAGCCTGCTGTACAAGCTCCCGTTTGGAACGAAGTCATAAATAAGGAGCTGCATCCTCGACGTCCAGTAGTAGCCTTGAAGAGCGACCAGGTTTGGGTGCTCGATCTTCCCCAGCTGCTGGACTTCTTTCTCAAACTCGAGCTGAGACTTCACCAATCCGGCAGTCACCAGCTTCTTTACTGCAAACGTTCGTCCATCCGATATAGCAGCCCGGTAAACAACTCCAAATCCTCCACGGCCAATCTCCTGCTCCTTGTTAAGCAGCGAGTGAGCGCTCGGAAGAAGCTCCTCGGACTTTGTGTCATTTCCGTCGGTAAACATGACCAGCTTTCCAATGGCCAGATCCTCACTGGAGGAACTCGGAGAGCTGTTGTGATCCGCCATGAAAAAGTTGTTTTTGAGAGCAGCAGCCGGCGCAGCTTGCTGAGCACGGATGTTGAGGACAGAGACGACCACGATTCCCAGAGCGATCACTGCTGCTGCGGAGATAGCTATGATCGCCGACACACTGAGTACGATCTTGTTCTTTCCCCTGTGTCCTCCGGACTGAAGTATCCCTGCTGTGTCGCTGCTTGCATTCGGATTCAGCACTATCGGTTTAGGAACCGTCGAGCATGCTACGTCGAGAGCAGCTCCACATAGGCCTGAATTCCCCTGGAAAGCTGTCCGATTTACCAAGTTAAAAACTCCACCTTTCGGAATTGGACCGTCGAGATGATTGTGCGACACGTCGAGGCTAGAGAGACTCTCCAGCTTCACAAGTTCCTTCGGTATCGGACCCGTTAAGTTGTTCCACGCGAGGTCCAGAGACTGTAGAAAATTCAGCCTCGAGAGCGCCCCGGGTATGCTTCCAGACAAACGATTCGAGGACAAGTCCCTGAAAAAAGAACGAACGCAAAACTCATCAGAAAACTAGAAACAATGCAGCTGCAAAACACTTACAGCTCTACGAGACGCTCGCACTTGGAAATGGCCTTGGGAATGTTTCCCACCAGCAAGTTCTTCGCCAGCTTTAGAACAGTGAGAGAGCTCATGTTGGTGAAAGTGGACGGTATTCCTCCCTGGAGCTGGTTGTGGCTCAAGTCCAAGAACATAAGCCTCTGGAGCTGGCTGATCTGTCCAGGAATCCCACCAGAGAGGACGTTCCATCCCACATTTAAGTGCTGCAAGCTGCTACACTGGGCGATTCTCGACGGCACTTCCCCGAAAATCCTGTTTCCGGAGATATCCACCACTTGAAGCGCATGACAAGGTGGCCAGATTGGAAAATCGCCCAGGAACTCGTTTCTGGAGAGATTGAGGAACTGCAAGCTCGACGAGAAAAGCCCAAAGGGAATCTTTCCACCCAAATGGTTGCTGCTGAGATCCAAGCTCGAGAGCCGAAGGAGCTGGAGCAAGCTCTGAGGAACCACCCCCGTGAGATTGTTTCCAGCCAAGTTGAGCGAGCGCAGGGATGAAAGCGTCGCGAGAGACGGTGGGATTGAGCCTTGGAACCCGTTCCACGAGAAGTCCAGCTCCTGCAAAGCTCGCAAGCTCTTGCCGATCCAATCCGGAAGATCGCCGGAGAAACCATTCTCGGCAATGCGAAGAGTGACGAGCCCGGTTTGGTTTGCGGCCAGAGATGGAGAGAGCTGCCCCGTTAACCTGTTCTTGCTAAGGCTAAGGTACCTGAGGAGATGGCCGCCCCCAAAGAAATCCCTGGCTAGAGCGCCAGTGAAAGCGTTGTCTGAGAGATCCACGTAACGTATCGAAGCCCCCATGGGCGATGGCAGCTCCCCGGACAGCCGATTCTTCTTCAAATCCACGAAATCCAGCATCCGGAAGAGCTCCGGAACCACATTGCCCGAGAGATTGTTGGCAGAGAGCGAGAGAGTCTTGAGGCGCTCGAGCTTGAGGAGGCCTCTCCCAATCGTGCCCGACAGTGCCAGGCCATCGAGCGAGACCGATTCGACCCTGCCGCTGGCGCTGCCACACCGGATTCCCGTCCAATTGCATGGCGATGAATCCGCCTCGCTCCAAGAAGCCAGGGATCCGCGAGGATCTTGGAGCCCCGCCTTGAAGACCAGCAGCCCAAGAACATCGTCGTTCCACGACACCGTCTCATCCCCTTCCCCCGTCGAATGCCGCGGCAGCGAGGCCAAGATCAGCGCCAAGATTGCAAGGAAGAGCACGGAATCGATCTTCCCTGGAGCTCCGGCGCGCCGGCCATGGATCCTGGCGCTCATTCTTGGAATCCTAGAAGCTCGCGAGCTGCATTGCAAAGATTCTTCATACCGCGCACGCCATACCCGCCGCCGCTCACACGTGAAAGCTCACAACGGGATTTCAATCGCCGTCACCAAGTCCCGTGAGCGCCATAGACCGCCATAGCCAGAGCTTCTTCCGCTGGCGGAATATGCCAGGGACGTCAAGGCTCCGCCAGGGAAATCGGTAGATTCGTCGCACATTCCGCCGCGAGCCCTAACTGACTGTGACATACGGCCTCCTTTCATCATTAAACGAGAGTTACCGTACTCCTTTTTCTCCACGTGTCTTCCACGTCAGACTGTGGATGTGACCTGGACTCCCATAAATGGCATTAAATGGGACGCATTAAAAAAACATCTATTTTTCAGAGACAGCGAATCTATAGTATATTCGAGGTTTTGACCTCTGAAAGGAAGCTTTTGGCGCCAGCCGGCTCAGCCGGTGCGGCCCCTCGGGCACTGGCTAGTGCCGGTCACCTCTCTTAGTCTTATGCTAATCAATGTGTCCACACAACGAGGAAAGAAGAAAAGAGAGACAGGATGAAGGCAACAGCAACCAAACAAGTAATTGTTTCGTACCAGAGCTTTCAATGCGACCGGTGATTATGCCACGAGAATCCTTGGAGATGCTATTTGTCTCACTCTCAATTGTTTGACACTGCCTGGATTTGCACAAACAGATTACAAGTAGCGAGAGAAGGATGAGATCGATGTGATATCTTTTCTCTTCCGCTAGTAAGTAGCAAATTATTTTGAGAGGATCACTCACTTCTAAATCACTGATAGAACTTGTAAGTCGACGCATCCATTACCAAGTTCCGGAATCCCCCGATTGTGGCTGCTATCATTAGCAGCACGCCCAGCACGATCGATATCTAGAGCATTAAGTGTTAGAGAGCGACCAAGAAAAGCTCGAGAGTATCTTACCCAGTTTGCGAGCCACGAAAGGCTGAATCGCTTGGGTTTGTGCACTGCCAGCCATATTATACACGGTAGCTGGAACGGAAAGCATTGAACGAAAGAGAAACACAAAAGCCAAAAGACTTACGAAATAAGTTGTGGGCGCTAGTGCAAATCCTCCAAAGAAACCGAGAAGATTTCCGAAGAACGGGATTGTGATCGCTACAAACGCTGTAAATGCTGTGAAAGCAAAGCCTGGCCTGAGTCGGAAACTCGGAAGCTCAAAAAGAAAAGCTTACCAACGTATACTGTTCTGGCGATGAGACGGAGGCAAACGCCAGGAGGCAAGTGGAGCTTCTTGACAAGAAGCGTCTCGAGCATGTCAAACACAGGCATTGCGTAAATCTGCCACATAAAAGATCAACAAATCAACACTAGAAGAACAACAAGAAAAGAAAAAAAATGCATAGCAAACCTGGTAGCTGCCAATGACATGAACAACGAGCATGAGATTGGCAGCAGCGATGAGCCAGTGTGGAGTACCGATGTGTTGGAGAATGTTGTCGTAAGAAGTATCGTTCCCAAATGCCCAGTAGCCGATGAGAGCCACCGGGAAGTAGCAAATCGCCACGACCATGTACGCCACCACCACTCCCTTCCACATCGGGCCCTTGGACGGCTTGCTCGGCGAGGATGGAATGGTTGCCTGGATCTCAAGAACAACGTTGTGCCCGGCATAGGCGAACGCGATCTCTCCCAGCGCATTGAAAACCTTGAACACCGTGTTGGCTGCCGATGGGGAGTGAGGATAGCTGTAGCTCACATCCGGCCCCCCGGCATTGGGGATCGCGGTCGTCCAGGCGATCGTGGAATAGCTGCCAATGGAAGGAAGAAGAACTTAGCACAAATTCCACGAAATATTTCAAGAGCTCTTCCAAGAACGATCGACGCGATCGAAATCTGGCTCAACACGATCGAAATCTTGCTCACCTGAGAGACATGACCGCCGCGGAGAGCGAAATCCCCGAGATGGAGTTGAAATTGGGGAGCTGCGCCAGCACGAAGTGGATCGACGCGAACACCAGGATCCAATACGACTGCCGGATGTGCTTGCATCCGGTCGCGTCGGGCGCGCAGCTCACCAGCTCGTAGAATCGCTTGAGCGATTTCCCGCCGGTGACCATGTAGACGATGTCGACGCCGACCTCGACGATGAGCTGCTGCGGCACCACGATCCACAGCCCTAGGCGCTCGCCAAACGCCTCCTGCGCGAGCTCGTGGTAGCGATCGAAGCGCTTGCCCTCCACCATCTCGTGCATCTCCACCATTTGCCATAGCGTGTAGAGCGTGACGGTCCAGGAGAGGAGGAGCACGAAGATCCCAGGCCCCCTGGAAAAACGAAGAACCCTAAAAAATGTAGACGTTATAACATTCGAACGTTACCATCCCAGATAAACCATAGCCGAGGGTAACGCCAGCACGCCCGATCCTACCATCGCGGTTACGTTGTGAAACGCGGAGTACCACCATTTGGCGTTCCTCGAGCTCGTCACTGGCAGCCATTCGTCCACATTGATAGAAGATTCCTGCAAGAAGGGGAATTTTAGATTCCAAAAAAAGATATTGAAAGGATTTTGATGCTTTGTGGGAAGATTTTCGCTCCTCCTCCTCTCCTCCTAGTTTCATTTTCTTCGTCTTCTGAGCTTCCATTGCGAAAAAAATCTCTAAAGAACGAACAAAAATTAGTATGTCCAAATCCAGGCAAAGAATTGCTGGTCTCTAGGTGTTGAACTTAAAGTTCCAGCATGCATGCTAACCTGCCAAATATGGCCAAATGGAAATATCTTTTTTATATATTTTCTGGAAATCGATTTAATAGGTATGGAACCCATATACATTTGAAGCAATACTTGTTTCTTCTGTATACCTTTTGCAGCTACTGATAAAACTTGTATGTTGATGCATCCATGATGATATTTCTGAAGCCTCCAATAGTAGCTACAATCATTAGCAGCACTCCCAAGACAATACAAATCTGCAATCCACGAGAAAATATAAAAATTAAAGCAATAGTTTTTTTTTTTCTGGACAGAAAGGTTTGCGTACCCAGTTTGCCATCCACGAAAGACTGAAAACTCTGGGTTTGTAAACAGCCAGCCACATAATACACGGGAGCTGTGGATTAATGCAAAGAAGGTTAAGCCAAAGAAATCAACCAAAACAAAAAAAATTAGAGGAACTTACAAAGTAAGTCGTGGGAGCAAACGCAAAACCTCCGAAAAAGCCCAGCAAGTCTCCAAAAAAAGGAAAAGTTATCCCAATAAAGGCAGTGAAAGCTGCCAAGACAAAGTTCCAGTGTTGAATGATCTGGATGAATAAAAAATCTCCAAAACTTACCAACATAGAGTGATCGAGCGACGAGACGAAGAATCACACCTGGAGGGAAGTGAAACTTCTTGACCAGAACGGTTTCCAGCATATCAAACACTGGCATCGCATAGATCTGTTTAAGGAAACGAAACAAAACCTCGATCAATCAAAGAGCTTACTTGAAACAACTCGAGAAGGGAGAACTCAGCTTACCTGGTAGCTTCCAATAACGTGAACCACAACCATGAGATTGGCAGCCGCGATGAGCCACTCGGGTCTCCCGAGACGCTGGAGAACATTGTCATAGCTGGTATCATTTCCAAAAGCCCAGTATCCAACCAAGGAAACCGGGAAGTAACACATAGCCACGACAATATACGCCACGACCACTCCCCTCCACATTGGAACTTTGGATGGCTTTTGCGGCGAGGAAGGGATCGTCGCCTGGATCTCAAGAACAACGTTGTGACCGGCGTAGGCAAACGCCACTTGTCCGAGAGCATTGAAAACTCTAAACACAGTGTTCGCCACTGATGGAGAGTGAGGATAAGCGTAGCTCACTTTGGTCATTGGTGGCTTTGCTTCTTGGCCGTAATGCACTGGAGCAACCCATGCAATCGTCGAGTAACTGCGGAAAAGAGATAAAAAGTTGGCAAAGTTGCGTAAAAATTTTTGGTGCTTCTTCTTACCTGAGAGACATGACGGCTGCTGCCAAGGAGACTCCGGTGATGGAGTTGAAGTTTGGGAGCTGGGACAAGAAGAAGTGAACTGAGGCAAAGACGAGGATCCAGTAAGTTCTCTTGATGTGCTTGCAGCTGATGTCATCGGGCTTGCAATGGACGAGCTCGTAGAATCTCATGAGAGACGTCCCTCCTGTGACCATATAGACAATGTCCACTCCAACTTCGACGATGAGCTGCTGGGGCACGACGATCCACAGTCCAAGTTTCTCTCCGAAAGCCTCCTGCCCGAGTTCGTGGTAGCGATCAAATCTCTTCCCCGGGACCATTTCGTGCATTTCCACCATTTGCCACAGCGTGTAGAGTGTGATCACCCACGAGAGTACAAGAACCAGGACCCCTGGTCCCCTGGAACGAAAAACAAATCTTTAAAGTTGCTTGGAAAAGTTGGAAAACGATTTGTCAAGAACATGGGGCTGTGAAAGTTCTTGAGGATTGCGGGTGACACACGACTAAGGTGGGCGATGGACAACGGAGTTAAGTAACGAGTCACAGTCTTTGCCAACACGGAGATCCATTAAAAAAGAATTGACTACTTGTCATGGCAAGGAAGTCACGGGCAGCGAGGAGAAGACTTTTAGACCAGGAAGAAAGCACGCGACGTTTTTTTTTCTTGTTTCCACAGGCATGACAAGAGCACGAATGAGAAAACACTGACTGACCAAGAATTTGGATCGAAACTAAGCGAATTTGAAGCTAGCGATTGAAACGAAGAAGAGCTGCGAAGAACTTACCAGCCAAGATAGACCATCGCCGAGGGGAGGCTAAGAACTCCAGCTCCAACCATGGCGGTGACATTATGGAAGGCCGAGTACCACCACTTGGCGTTCCTGGAGCCACTGCCAACGGGCAGCCAATCGTCCACGGATTTCACAGTTCGAGCGTGGCCTTTGTCCTCGACATACTCCTACAGATTCAATCCAGAAAACGAGGAGCTGTGAGAATCTGGGAAAAAAAGGGGGATCTCGGGACTTTTTCCCAGCTTTTGGGAAGGGATTCTTTCCTACCTTGAATGCCTGCGTGGAGGAGGGAGGCGAGGAGCCATTGTTGGTGCTGTCGTTCTCGTGTGGCGCCATCTCTGGGAGCTGAGCAAAAACTATAAAAGCAAGCGCTCACTCTCGCACAGGGCGGGGCCTCGTTAAGTCCACCTTAAATTAGCCCCTACATAGAAAACTATGCACCGTGTTGAGAGTTCAAACGTATATATTTCAGAAATCTCCCAATCTGTTCACATGTTGAGGATTGGGGAATAAAACGTGGTTTTAAATCCGAAATTTTCTCGAGCCCTGGTTTTTTTTCTTGATGTGGAGTGATAAAGTGATTACAAATAGTACCCTTGAACGCGGCCTAGCCACCAGTTGTGGAACATTCAAAGCTGAATTCTCAGGAAACTTTGTAAACTAATAATAATAATAATTATGAAGAAATGAGTAGCAATCCTCATACTTGCATATTTACAAACATCAGTCTTGCATCCCAAAGTTATTTATCCCAATAGGATACATACCAGTAGCAATTTCACTTACAGAAACCGTATCATACACGATCCTTTCAACAAAGCGACACAGCAGTTTTCAACTTGTCACAAAGGTAGAATGACAAAATTGTCGGCGTAGTTGAGCACTCAAAAAGAACGCAAACTAGACCGAACAACCCAAGTTGGAATCAAATCTCAGGTCATTGCTTGTTTCACACACTAGTAACATTGGCCCTCATCAAAATTTAAAGTAAATGCTAACATTTGACTAATATGCCATGCTATCGTTGACGGTCAACTGGAATCAGACTTTCGGCCCGGACAAACAAAGCCGGCACTTTTGTTAATTCCCATTGTGCTAGGGCATTTCGCATTCTTTGTGAGTGTTTCTCTCTATCTATTCCTTCCGGCAATCCAGGTAATGGCACCCATCGGCGTGGAGGAGATCATCCCCGACGGCACGCTCTCCTACTTCGACAAGGATGGCAAGCTCCAGAACGTTTCCATCTACGCCCTAGCCGAGAAGAAGAAAGTGGTCCTGTTCGGAGTTCCAGGAGCTTTCACTCCTACTTGCAGGTGCCCTTTTCTTCTTTTCCTCTTGCAAATCGATGCGAGCTCGATCTATCTCTTTCTAGTTTGAAGCATGTCCCTGGATACATTGAGAAGGCACCGGAGCTCAAGGCCAAGGGCGTGGACAAGATCCTGTGCTTAACTGGTAAATCCTGATTCTTTCTCGCGATGGATTGAAACCTTTTGTCCAGTGAACGATCCTTTCGTTGTTCGTGAATGGGCCAAGACCTATCCAGAGGATTCGGCCGTGATGTTCCTGGCAGACGGCTCCGCGACTTACACCAAGAGCTTGGGACTGGAGCTGGACCTGACGGAGCGAGGGATGGGGATTCGATCCAAAAGGTTTGCTTTGCTGCTGGATGATCTCGTTGTCAAGGCTGCCAACATTGAGGAGGGTGGCGACTTCAAGGTCTCCAGCGCTGATGACATACTTGCGGTTCTGCCATAAGTACTACTTACTCAGTTATCAAAAGCTTTTGTTATGTTACTTTTTGCATGGTTTGCCGTATTTAAGTTTAAATGTTTTTAGTGAAATATATTACAATATTTAAAAGGCGGTAAAGTAAATGCTAATAAAAATATAGAACTAACAAGATCGAGTACAGTGGATTTGGGGCAGGAAGGAGAACAGCTTTATTTCAGAATATTTATGTGGTACACAAGTACTTACACAAAATATTATCTTAAATTGTGATGTACTTGAGCTTTACACCATCTTCCCACTTTGTAACAATCTCTATTATCTTAAACTCTCTGAGTAGCAATAATGATCTTAACTCTATTACTCACAAGATCTTAATAGCAATTGTGTGATGTCATTCTATCCTTATAATGGATAAAAACTCTTAAAAGAGAAGATAAAAGGGAGAATGGCTTTCCTTCACAAATGGCTAAAAAACTTTGAATGATTTCTGGTATCTATAATAATTAGATTAAATAGGAGAGTTTTAAGTTGGTAGGGCTTTCTTTAGTCACCAGATGGTAAGCGATTAAAGATGGCAACCTTAACTCACAAAATCTTAGTACCATGATTTCGTCTGATCTTTATAATTGATCATAAATTTTAATCCACCCAGAAGCCCTTGAAAATGGTTGTCAAAGAATAGGATTGTAAATTTGGCAATTCTAGTTTTAGAGACTCGCATAATATAATTATTTTTCAGAGTAAAACTAGTTACAGAATTCTTAATTTTAATAAATAAAGTTTTTAAATTTTTTAATAACATATATATTCCCAAACTCTGTATCTCAACCACAAAGATCCTTCAAAAAGATTGTGAGGTTGTTATGGTTGAACTGACAAAAAATAACATTTTCTAAAAGGTAGCTCACTAAAAACCCAAATAAGAAAATGCAATTATAAACTCTAAGAACACTAAAGGAAGGGAAATTGCAAAAATACACAACAATACTTTGTTCTTGTGGAAACACATTGATCTCCTTCAATCGATGAGAATGTATTCTTTGCCTTTAGATGTTTCTATTTAATATTAGTTCACTTCTATGTGTTTTGGGTGGTCAAAATATGTGCTTATAGAAAGCACTGCCCAGGTTGAGTCTCTCTCTCTAATAAATATTATCTAAAGTAAACAAGCAAATCAATCTCTAGCAAATTATTTTATTTAACTTTAACATTAATAAAGTATAATATATCTGCTCCTTGATCACAAAATTCGCATCGTGCCACTCCACCACCAAATCCTCCCGTACTGGTAGAGCACGGGATCAAGACCTCCAGCACAGTCGATTTGAGCAGCGGCATTTTCTCCCATAGAACGACCCCGCCGGATCGCAAGTTGAAATTGTTCTCGTAGTGACTCTATTAAATCTAAACAATCACAGGGGCACATGCGAAATACTGGATGAGAACATTATATTCGAAATACTTGTCATTGTAGAGCGCTGTATCCATGGCCAGCTGGATCCTGGAGCGAAGGGGAGTTCAATGCCGCACGGGACAGATTGCGTTTGTTGAGGTCGAATTGCACTGCTGCAATCGCGGGAAGTAGAATGCTTTGAGGTTTTCCTTTTCGAAGCCGTGTTTGAGATTTACGAAATCGTGAGGACGACGCCAAACAAAATGCATGCCTGCATTGGTTCATACCACCATGTCAAAAGCTTCCGATCTAAAAATGATGACATTTTTACCCAGTTTAAAAGCCACTCAAGACCAAGGACTCTTGGCTTCTTGATGCTTAGCCACATTATACACGGCAACTGCTGGGAACACGTCAGAGAGAAGAAAGGGAAGTTTTGAGTCACTGATACGTACGACATACGTTGTTGGTCCAAGAGCGAGCCCACCGAATAATCCCAGATGCCCTCCAAACGAAGGTATGATCACCGCAACCAAACACGTAAATCCTGGCAGCTCAAGCTTGTGGAAATTCACCAAGAAGAATAACGCTCCCTTACTTACGTAAAGAGGCCTAATCCAAGCATTGAGCCAGCAAGTTAGTCCATCATCTCGGCAAAGCAAAAACCTGGGATGGAGCACGTAAGAACGAGGAACCAATGGAAGCCTAGCTTACCTGGTAACTCCCTGTGAGGTGCAGCATAAGCATCAAGTTGGCTGTCCCTATCAGCCACTTTGGTTTATCGAGGACGTCCAGAACGTTTTCGTAGCAAGTCAAGTTGCCAAGAGCCCAATAGCCAACTCCAGCGACTGGGAAATAGCAAACGGCAACCATGACATAAGCCACCAAAACTCCATTCCACATTGGTAGCTTAGACGGCTTGTGCCTCGTTGATCTCATCATTGCTTGGATCTCGAGAGCAATGTTTTGGCCTCCATAGGCAAACGCAATCTCTCCGAGTGCATTAGAGGCTCTGTAGTCTCCAGTTGCAGTAGAGATACGATACTTGCGAACTCTTAAGCCGTATAGCTGTTGCCCAAATTATAGTCGAGTAGCTGAATGAAAAGCGAGTTAGATTTTCATACAAAAAGAAAAAAGATACCTGAAAGACATGATGGCGGCCACCAGAGAGACGATTGTCATGGACGAGAAACTGGCAAACAACGACAGTACCGCCTGAACTCCAGCAAACGCGGATATCCATGCCACAGCAAGCTCAAACTTCCCGTGCTGAATCTCGCGACTCAGAACAAGATCCCCGAACCTCTTGAGCGCCTGGCCGCCAGTTACCAAGTAAGCAATGTTGGCAGTCACCTGGACTACGATCTGCTGCAAACCAACTATGAACCCAAGCCTGTCCCCGAATGCTTTTCTTCCGAGATCCCGGTAAGTGTCGTATCTCCCTTACTCATCCTCGTGCATCTCGATCAATTGGTACATGGTAGCCAGTGTGATTATCCACGAAACGCCCAGCATCATCATTCCAGGAGCCCTGTGGACACACAAATTTAGTCTCTCCATGACATACAATGGAAAATTTACCATCCCAGGTAGACCATTGTCGACGGAAGGCTCAAAACTCCGGCTCCTAGCATAGCCGTCGCGATGTGAACGGTTGAGTACCACCACTTGGGATGGTGTTCCGGTCGCAGTATACGCCGTAGACAATTCCAAAAGACGGAGTAGATTGCAGCGTTACTCATGCGATCTTCGCGCTCATGAGATTCTGTACCACCCACCTGTTGATCACGGGCTGATAGAGAGGCCCTCATTTGCTGGAAGAGCAGCTTCGATGGCAGAGTTCCTAATACACAGTTTGATCTCGTCAAGACAATGAACTTCTTTGGAAAAGACTATATTACTGAGCTCGTGGAAGGTGGCAATTGTTGATCTGTTGATTATTATTAGTATTTTTAAATAATATTAATTTTAGTTGAATACTTAAGCACCTAAACAGTCATATTATATTTTTGAATAGAAACATCAAACAAACTAGCTGGTTGATTACATTAAACGATCAGTGATAAAGTAATCTGCAATAACTAAATAAAAGATTGCTTTAGACAACATAATAATAATAATAATTATCTGTACATTTATGATTACTAAATAGCTAAGTATATAAAAAAAAGTAGAGCTTTGCCTGGATATCAAGCGAAGTAATTGAATAAAAAATTTCTTGTTTTATAAGTAAATTTATGTTGCCTTTCTAATTTATTATAATAATAATCTACCATATGAGGTCTATAATTACGATGTCATATATTATTATTATCATAGTGGGATTTTAGTAATTATTGAATTAGTTCTTAAAATACAGTAGTGTTGTTCTCGTGTTTAGATTCACTATTTAACATCATTCCATATTTAGTAAGTTTTTGTGATTGTCCTGAACTCTTCAATTAATATTTTATAGTATATAATCAATAATATGATTGAAACTTTATTTTTCAGCAATTTTAAAAATTTATTTATTTATTTAATATTAATTACTTTACAAAAAACTTTTTAAAATTATTAATTTACATAAATTAAAATAATTTATTTATATTATATAATTATAATAAAAAATAAATAAATTGAAAATAAAGTAAGAAATAAAAAAGAATTAAATTTTGAGAAACATGTGGTTATAGTCTACATCTTTATTTTGAATTAAGCCATATTGTAATATTTTATTTTAATGAATACACTTCTTAAATTCTAAATTTGAAGTTAAACATTTAAAACATATAGACTACCAATATATTTAGCTAGTTCTTACACTAATTTCGTGCAAATGACTTGAGAAACGGAGTGTTGAGTGTGGAGTCCTCACTCAGCTCAAAAGTCTTGTATCTCGCAAACAACTGCACCAGGTAGAACCTGGCGATTGTCTCCACAAAATTCTTCCCAGCACACTGCTTGTCATCCGCGGTCGGTGACTTCGTATTCCTTCCATTGGACCAAAACACATTCGCCTGGAGCTCCTCCTTCCCCACAAACCTGTCCGGGATCAACTGATCCGGCTCCTCAAACACCTTTGGATCTCGGCAAACCAGTGCCTGCGACCCACCCAAGAGCTGTCCCTTCTTGATCACAAACTTCGCATCGTGTGACTCCACCACCATATCCTCCCGGGGGCGTCCGTACTGGTAGAGCACGGGCGGATCAAACCGGAAGACCTCCAGCACAGTCGACTTGAGCAGTGGCATTTTCTCCAGTGCGCCGTAGAACGACCCCGCCGGATCGCTCACGTCGATCGCAGCACGGATCTCATCCCCGAGCCTCTTCTGGAACTCGGCCCCGAGAGTTCCAACACGGTAGAGAAGATTGGGCAGCACTCTGGCGCTGAATCCAAACCAGCTGTTCATCCCGACGAGGAAGAGCAGCTGGTGCACGGCCTCCTCTCGCGACAGCCCAAACTCCTTCTCGCCCATGTCGAGCATCTCAGTGGCGAGCTGGAAGAACTCGCAGAGCTTGTCGTAGTCGGCCTTGACGAGCAGGAATGGCAGTGGCGCGGTACGTATGACGACGTCCTCGGCGAATCCGGGCAGTGGAGTGCTATTGCCAGGCGCTACAGGCGCGAACTGGATCCCGATCCAACGGAGGAGGTGAGTCGGGCCCTGGTCAGCGAGCTTGGTGGTCAACGGATCCACGTTGACGATGGACTTGGCCAAGAACTGGAAGGCGAGCTGGTTGAGCAACGGTGCCATGTCGGCCTTGTTCTTCCCGGACGAGAGCTCCGACTCGGCGGCATCGAACGCGGCGTGGAAGGCCGACTGGAACTCAGGCAGGAACTTGCGGCCATTTCGCTTGAGCACCTCGAAGGCGAAGTTCTTGAGCGTTGCGTGCTTGGGATCGGTGGTGTCGAGGTAGGACAGCACCCGGTATCCTCCCGTGAAATCGTCGGATGCCTTGTAGGAGCCCGTGAACACGTTGGTCTTGTCCACCTTGGAGCTGTCGAGCAGGACTGGGAAGGAGCTCTGGTCCAGGAGGGCGATGCCGCGAGGATCCGGGAAGGCTGGATTTCCCGGAATGAAGTTAACTTTGAAGACGGTGCTATTGTACTTGGCCACCCTGCTCTTGAAAAACTCCACCTCGCCTTGGAGGTGGAGGAAGTCCAAGTTGTCCTTTTGAGCACCCAGGACTGGCAGGCCGTATGATCCTGGGACTTCCTTCGTCGGGAGATTGCTGGAGCCGGATGAAGCCATTGTTGCTCGATCTCTGGAGGGAGTAAGAGAGATGCAAGGAGCTTTGTTTTGGTGCTAATCTCGTTGCCTTGAGTCGCTTTTAAACCCCCTGGAGACGATAGGTATTGATATCAATATCGGATGGCGTATTGGTGCTGTAGATATGTGTCAGCGAGTGATAACACTGACGAATGCTACTTTGTTGCATTTCGCCCACGTTAAGCACGCAAGTTGAAACTGTACTCGTAGCGGAGACTCTACTAAATCCAAACAGTCAGAGGGGCACATGCAAAGTACTTGATGAAAATATTATCGTCGAAATACTTGTCATTGCAGAGCGCTAGCTGGAGCCTGGAGAATCAAGCGAGGGGAATTCAATGCCGCACGGGACAGCTTGCGTTTGTTGAGGTCGAGCTGCACTGCTGCAATCGCGGGAAGTAGAATACTTTGAGATTTTGCTCTTCGAAGCCGTGTTTGAGATTTACGATGCTTCCAATTGCCGACACAATCGTGAGGACGACGCCAAACAAAATGCATGCCTGCATTGGTTCGCACCACCATGTCAAAAGCTTAAAATGATGAGATTTTTACCCAATTTAAAAGCCACTCAAGACCAAGGACTCTTGGCTTCTTGATGCTTAGCCACATTATACACGGCAACTGCTGGAAACACGTCAGAGAGAAGAAAGGAAAGTTTTAAGTCACTGATACGTACGAAATACGTTGTTGGTCCAAGAGCGAGCCCACCGAATAATCCCAGAAGCCCGGAAAACGAAGGTAGGATCACCGCAACCAAACACGTAAATCCTGGCAACTCAAGCTTGTGAAAATTCACCAAGAAGAATAACCCCCCCTTACCTACGTAAAGAGGCCTAATCAAAGCATTGATTGGCATATTCTTTTGCTCCAGTCCCTCGTAAATCGGCAAAGCAAAAACCTGGCATGGAGCACGTAAGAACGAGGAACCAATGGAAGCCTAGCTTACCTGGTAACTCCCTGTGAGGTGCAGCATAAGCATCAAGTTGGCTGTTCCTATCAGCCACTTTGGTTTGTCGAGGACGTCCAGAACGTTTTCGTAGCAAGTCAAGTTGCCGAGAGCCCAGTAGCCAACTCCAGCGACTGGGAAATAGCAAACGGCAACCATGACATAGGCCACCAAAACTCCATTCCACATTGGTAGCTTAGACGGCTTGTGCCTCGTCGATCTCATCGTCGCTTGGATCTCGAGAGCAATGCTGTGGCCTCCGTAGGCAAACGCAATCTCTCCGAGTGCATTAAAGGCTTTGTAGTATGTCAAGTTGCAGTAGCCATACGATGCTTGCGAACTCTTAAGCCGGATAGCTGTTGCCCAAACTATAGTTGAGTAGCTGAGTGAAATGTGAATTACATTCTCCTACAACAAGAAAATATAAAACAAAGAAATAACAGGATTTTACCTGAAAGACATGATGGAGGCTATCAGAGAGACGATTGTCATGGACGAGAAACTGGCAAACAACGACAGCACCGCTTGAACTCCAGCAAACGCGGATATCCATAACACAGCAGGCTCAAACTTCCCGTAGTGAATCTCGCGACTCAGAACAAGATCCCCGAACCTTTTAAGCGCCTGGCCTCCAGTTACCAAGTAAGCAATGTTGGTGGTCACCTGACCTACGATCTGCTGCGAGCCAACAATGAGATTGCCAAGCCTGTCCCCGAATGCTTTCCGGCCGAGACACTGGTAAGTGTCGTGTCTCCCTGACTCGTCCTCGTGCATCTCAATCATTTGGTACATGGTAGCCAGTGTGATTATCCACGAAACGCCCAGCATCATCATTCCAGGAGCCCTGTGGAGATACTAAGTTAGTCGCTCATGTCCATGAATTTTCCCGAAGAATTTACCATCCCAGGTAGACCATTGTCGACGGAAGGCTCAGAACTCCGGCTCCTACCATGGCCGTCACGATGTGAACGGTTGAGTACCACCACTTGGCATGGTGTTCCGGTCGCAGTATACGCCGTAGACAATTCCAAAAGACGGAGTAGCTTGCAGCGTTACTCATTCTTCGCCCACCTGTTGATCACGGACTGAAAGAGAGATCCTCATTTGCTGGAAGAGCAATGCCGCAGCTTCGACCGGAGAGTTCGCCCCCCATTCAGTCTAATCCACGGTTTAGTCTCGTCAATACAATGAACAATATTGACCTGACCGAGTCAAAGCCGACGGCACGCGAGTCGTCAAAACAGCTTAGAGAACTCGGAATCTAAAATCTCAAGAAACATATTAGATTGGTTTTTAGAACATAATAGTGTTGATCTCATGTTAAAATTCACGATGGTTAATTATTCTTTTTTATGGATTTTGGCTTTTCACATTACCACATATTTTCTATGGTTTACTCTAGATTAATCTTTTGGGTTGAGATATCGATAGGATATTTTATAAGTTTTTGTGATTACTCTGAGCTTTTTAATAATATTTTTATAATTTATAATCAATAATATGATTATAACTTTACTTTCCAGCAATTTTAAAATATTAATTTAAAAATTTTCATATTAATTACTTTATAAAATACTTTTAAAGAATTATTATTTTAAATATATTAAAATAAATTTATTTACATTCCATTATTATAATAAATTTAAATAAATTAAAAATAAAGTAAGAAAAAATACGAATTAACTTTTGAGAAACATGTGGTTATAGTCTTTTAGCACATCTTTACTTGTGGCATTGAGCCATAAAATTATTTTTTTATTGTAATATTGTATTTTAATGAATACACTTCTTAAATTCTAAATTTTGAAGTTAAACATTTAAAACATACCAAATTGTGGCCTGCGGAGCATTTCTAAAACACTCATCAGAACACAACTAAAACAGTTTTACAAGGAAAAGCTGTACCGAGATTTTGCTGAAAACCAAGCAGCATCTGTGCGCTCGATCGCTGCGAACTCTCCAGCGCGATCCCTCTGCGACACTTTATATATTTAGCTAGTTCTTACACTAATTTCGTGCAAATGACTTGAGAAACGGAGTGTTGAGTGTGGAGTCCTCACTCAGCTCAAAAGTCTTGTATCTCGCAAACAACTGCACCAGGTAGAACCTGGCGATTGTCTCCACAAAATTCTTCCCAGCACACTGCTTGTCATCCGCGGTCGGTGACTTCGTATTCCTTCCATTGGACCAAAACACATTCGCCTGGAGCTCCTCCTTCCCCACAAACCTGTCCGGGATCAACTGATCCGGCTCCTCAAACACCTTTGGATCTCGGCAAACCAGTGCCTGCGACCCACCCAAGAGCTGTCCCTTCTTGATCACAAACTTCGCATCGTGTGACTCCACCACCATATCCTCCCGGGGGCGTCCGTACTGGTAGAGCACGGGCGGATCAAACCGGAAGACCTCCAGCACAGTCGACTTGAGCAGTGGCATTTTCTCCAGTGCGCCGTAGAACGACCCCGCCGGATCGCTCACGTCGATCGCAGCACGGATCTCATCCCCGAGCCTCTTCTGGAACTCGGCCCCGAGAGTTCCAACACGGTAGAGAAGATTGGGCAGCACTCTGGCGCTGAATCCAAACCAGCTGTTCATCCCGACGAGGAAGAGCAGCTGGTGCACGGCCTCCTCTCGCGACAGCCCAAACTCCTTCTCGCCCATGTCGAGCATCTCAGTGGCGAGCTGGAAGAACTCGCAGAGCTTGTCGTAGTCGGCCTTGACGAGCAGGAATGGCAGTGGCGCGGTACGTATGACGACGTCCTCGGCGAATCCGGGCAGTGGAGTGCTATTGCCAGGCGCTACCGGCGCGAACTGGATCCCGCCAACGGAGGAGGTGAGTCGGGCCCTGGTCAGCGAGCTTGGTGGTCAACGGATCCACGTTGACGATGGACTTGGCCAGGAACTGGAAGGCGAGCTGGTTGAGCAGCGGTGCCATGTCGGCCTTGTTCTTCCCGGACGAGAGCTCCGACTCGGCGGCATCGAACGCGGCGTGGGAGGCCGACTGGAACTCAGGCAGGAACTTGCGGCCATTTCGCTTGAGCACCTCGAAGGCGAAGTTCTTGAGCGTTGCGTGCTTGGGATCGGTGGTGTCGAGGTAGGACAGCACCCGGTATCCTCCCGTGAAATCGTCGGATGCCTTGTAGGAGCCCGTGAACACGTTGGTCTTGTCCACCTTGGAGCTGTCGAGCAGGACCGGGAAGGAGCTCTGGTCCAGGAGGGCGATGCCGCGAGGATCCGGGAAGGCTGGATTTCCCGGGATGAAGTTAACTTTGAAGACGGTGCTATTGTACCTGGCCACCCTGCTCTTGAAAAACTCCACCTCGCCTTGGAGGTGGAGGAAGTCCAAGTTGTCCTTTTGAGCACCCACGACTGGCAGGCCGTATGATCCTGGGACTTCCTTCGTCGGGAGATTGCTGGAGCCGGACGAAGCCATTGTTGCTCGATCGCTGGAGGGAGTAAGAGAGATGCGAGGAACTTCGATTTGGTGCTAATCTCGTTGCCTTGAGTCGCTTTAAACCCCGTGGAGACGATAGGTGTTGATATCAATATCGGATGCTGTAGATATGTGTCAGCGAGTGATAACACTGACGGACGCTACTTTGTTGCATTTCGCCCACGTTAAGCACGCAAGTTGAAACTGTACTCGTAGCGGAGACTCTTATAAATCCAAACAGCCAGAGGGGCACATGCAAAATACTTGATGAGAACATTATCGTCAAAATACTTTTCAGTGTAGAGCGCTAGCTGAAGCCTGGAGCGAACAATCAAGCGAGGGGAATTCAATGCCGCACGGGACAGCTTGCGTTTGTTGAGGTCGAGTTGCACTGCTGCAATCGCGGGAAGTAGAATACTTTGAGATTTTGCTCTTCGAAGCCGTGTTTGAGATTTACGATGCTTCCAATTGCCGACACAATCGTGAGGACGACGCCAAAGAAAATGCATGCCTGCATTAGTTCGTACCACCATGTCAAAAGCTTAAAATGATGAGATTTTTACCCAGTTTAAAAGCCACTCAAGACCGAGGACTCTTGGCTTCTTGATGCTTAGCCACATTATACACGGCAACTGCTGGGAACACGTCAGAGAGAAGAAAGGGAAGTTTTGAGTCACTGATACGTACGAAATACGTTGTTGGTCCAAGAGCGAGCCCACCGAATAATCCCAGAAGCCCGCCAAACGAAGGTATGATCACCGCAACCAAACACGTAAATCCTGGCAGCTCAAGCTTGTGAAAATTCACCAAGAAGAATAACGCCCCCTTACCTACGTAAAGAGGCCTAATCCAAGCATTGATTGGCAGTTTCTTTTGCTCCAGCCAGCAAGTGAGAGCATCATAAATCGGCAAAGCAAAAACCTGGGATGGAGCACGTAAGAACGAGGAACCAATGGAAGATTAGCTTACCTGGTAACTCCCTGTGAGATGCAGCATAAGCATCAAGTTGGCTGTTCCTATCAGCCACTTTGGTTTGTCGAGGACGTCCAGAACGTTTTCGTAGCAAGTCAAGTTGCCGAGAGCCCAGTAGCCAACTCCAGCGACTGGGAAATAGCAAACGGCAACCATCACATAGGCCACCAAAACTCCATTCCACATTGGTAGCTTGGACGGCTTGTGCCTCGTCGATCTCATCGTCGCTTGGATCTCGAGAGCAACGTTGTGGCCTCCGTAGGCAAACGCAATCTCTCCGAGTGCATTAAAGGCTCTGTAGTATGTCAAGTTGCAGTAGCCATACGATGCTTGCGAACTCTTAAGCCGGATAGCTGTTGCCCAAACTATAGTCGAGTAGCTGAGTGAAATGTGAATTACATTCTCATACAACAAGAAAATATAAACATAGAAATAACAGGATTTTACCTGAAAGACATGATGAAGGCCATCAGGGAGACGATTGTCATGGACGAGAAACTGGCAAACAACGACAGCACCGCCTGAACTCCAGCAAACACGGATATCCATACCACAGCAAGCTCAAACTTTCCGTACTGAATCTCGCGACTCAGAACTAGATCCCCGAACCTCTTGAGCGCCTGGCCGCCAGTTACCAAGTAAGCAATGTTGGCGGTCACCTGAACTACGATCTGCTGCGAGCCAACAATGAGATTGCCAAGCCTGTCCCCGAATGCTTTCCGGCCGAGACACTGGTAACTGTCGTGTCTCCCTGACTCGTCCTCGTGCATCTCAATCATTTGGTACATGGTAGCCAGTGTGATTATCCACGAAACGCCCAGCATCATCATTCCAGGAGCCCTGTGGAGATACTAAGTTAGTCGCTCCATGTCCATGAATTTTCCCGAAGAATTTACCATCCCAGGTAGACCATTGTCGACGGAAGGCTCAGAACTCCGGCTCCTACCATGGCCGTCACGATGTGAACGGTTGAGTACCACCACTTGGCATTGTGTTCCGGTCGCAGTATACGCCGCAGACAATTCCAAAAGACGGAGGAGATTGCAGCGTTACTCATGCGATCTTCGCCCACCTGTTGATCACGGACTGAAAGAGAGATCCTCATTTGCTGGAAGAGCAATGCCTCAGCTTCGACCGGAGAGTTCGCCCCCCATTCAGTCTAATCCACGGTTTAGTCTCGTCAATACAATAAACAACATTTGATCTGACCGAGTCCAAGCCGACGGCACGCGAGTGGTCAAACAGCTTAGTGAACTCGCTCTGTCTGGAATCTAAAATCTCAAGAAACATATTACTGATTGAGAAAGAAGTATATACACCTCTGCTTATCTTTCATGTTTCCAGCAAACACCACTGCTTCTTCTTCTACCCGAGAAAGAGAGCAAAAAGTTCCTACAAAAAACCATAACATCGCTAACGGGCGTCATCGACTTTTAGAATCGCTGCCTTTGCTACGAAAATTTGAAAGCGAGAAAAAAGACCGTGATCCTGCTGAAAGCCATTCGTCAGAACAATTAAAACTGTATCCAAAGCAAAACGTACCAGTGTGATCGGGCTCTTTAGAGTACGCTTCGATGCTCCTCCGAATAAATGAGCTCCCGTTGCCGTAGCCAGCACTGGTGTCTCTGGAGACGTCCGAGTCTTCATCACCCTCAGACGTAGTTGAAGCCGAGACCCACTCAGCAGTGTTGCTGCTGCCACTGCCACGGCTCTTCCTACCAAACTTTAGCAAGCGCTTGAAGCCTTTGGGACCCTCCTTGCTCCCCTGCTGTTGTACTGTGACTACTGGAATGGTCTTTTGCTGCGAGCTTCCCCATTTCTTCCGCTGGACTTTTACTCCATTCAAGTCTGGGGATGTTGCTTGACGGAGAACTGGTACTCCGATAGCAGGAAGCGGTGCCATTCCTCGATCTTCATACGAAACATAGTTCTCCGTCGCTATATGTTGAATCAATGTCAGCTTTGCTTTCGAGTCGATGTTGGCTTGCAAATCTGTAACCCCCCACTCCATCGGAACTTCAAGGTCGACGGCGCCGTGAATCTCTGTCCGAAGAGGAGGAGGATCGCTCGCAGGAACCGTGTCGTCCGGACATGTTGCGTCTACACAGATATCTGTGTCTGCCTTCTGGTCTCCCTCGACACTGCTCGTATCGATGTCCATTTCTTGAGACTCCCTCACCGAGCCTGGCACTTCTTCCGGCTTGTCGGGAGCTAACGGTGGAGCACCGAAGTTTGAAGGCTCAGCATGCAAATCCGTTGATGGAAGGCTGATATCGCGACCTTCACTCAAGTCGCCTTCCTCTGGTTTATCCTCCTCTTCTGCATCCGAAGCTGATGCCACCTTCAGCTTCATAACAACTGGACCTGCACCCGGTCCAATGCCACGCCCTTTGCGAAGAAACGTCTTGGTTTCCTGGAGAGTAGTGACTTGCTTTGGAGTTGGAATCCGAGAGAGAGCCTGTTGCGCTTGTAGAAGCTTGAGGGGTGTGAGAATTTGGCTGTCTGCATTCGATGTCGTAAATAGAGTCTTCCGCTTCGGAGGAGTATCTGACTTAAAATCCGATGGCACAACCCCGTTGGACTCCAGCGGTAGTACCTTGCTCGCAGATTTCGGGCGAGTAGAATTCATACCGGGTATTTTTGAGTTCTTCGCAGGTGCTACCTTACTTTGCTGCACAGCTTGAGGAGTTCGCACTGACGGCCGCGTGTTCTCTTTTCTCAACTCTGATAATGAAGGCATCGAACGGCTTAGCGGGTTGTCAGACATTCCGGATGGCCTACGTTGACTTGATGCTACCGTGCTCCTTGGCAGCTTTGGGGAAGACGTTGAATTACGAGCACTCGGTCCAGAGACGGGCTTTTGCGGACCCGGCGAGAGCTTTCTTGCTGCTCTAGGCCTCGGCTCAGGAGGAAGCTGCTGCCTAGTAGCCCGGGGTGTCGACTGTAACGATGACACTGTGGGACTGCTCCTGCTGGCCGTAGTCGTTCTTCCTCCTTGCAGCATTGCCTGCAAGAAACTGGTTAGAAATCCTCACGTATACGTATGCACGCAAATGATCACCTTTCTAGAAGAAGTAGACTTCACAACTTGCCGTTCGTTAAATTTCTCCGACGATCGACCTCCTCCAGCTACAAGCTCTGCCTTTCTCTTGTCCAGAATCTCTTGCATAGCCTTCAGTCTGGATTCTCTTTCTGCTTTCTTCAAGCCCGACTCTTGCCTGATTTTTGCGTCTCTCCTTTCTCTGTACTGCTCGTAGAGACGGCCATGCTCGCGCTGATTTCCTTGATTGCTCGGACCTTCTGCTGCTGCAGTCATCCCGGCTTGACGAACAATGGATACCAAATCTTGCTCTGATGAAGCACTCCACGACCTGGACACTGCACCTCTGCTGGATTTTTCCGCACGATATTGGAAGCCAAACTGCATATTAGCAGCCGTTGCCTGAGGGGGTGGAGTGCCTTGGACTAGATCCTTGGAGCTTCTAGCCGCTGGCAGAGCCGCTTCCTGGAGTTTTAGTTGTTGAAACTTCCACTCCAGATCCTTTTGAGCCGTTACCCAAGACTTCCTTCGTTCCTCAATCCTTGGGATGCTTGATAAATCTTCCTGGCTCGTCATGGGATGCTGCTCCTGGCTAGCAGGCTGACGATGATCCCCTCCACTAGTGCCTATTTCTTTAGTTGCTGAGATGCTTGCCGGTTCACCAAAGTCTTCACCTTCCTCTTCACCAACTGTGCTGCTGTCACCGATGCTACTCCATCGTCTAAGAACTGTCTTTCCTGTTTCCACTGAACCTCTGCGTTCCCCTTTTGACGACTGCGATTCCAAAGAATCTCTTTGTTTTCGTTCAAAAAGACTTATAGCATCTTGGACGCTCAGCCGTCGATGGTTCTCCTCTTTGTTGTCCTCACTCTCCATCTCCATGACGGAATCACTTTCCTCAGTGTTGCTGTCGTTCATCGTAGCTGGTTGAGCATGTTTACCAGAACCCGGGCTTGCATAGTTGATATTTCTGATAACAACCATCCCTTGTCGTCGTGAGCCAGAACGAGCAATCTGTACTTTTCTCATCGGGGAACACGACCTCCTCCTCGGAGATGAGACTCGTCGTGGAAGTCGCCTTGATGGAGGAGTTTCTTGCTGTGACGGTGACGTGACATTTGGAGGACTATCTGGAATTGTTCTAAAACCATGAGATGCAGGAGCAGCCTTTAGCACATCATCGATTGTTTCGAGCGGCTCCGGAAAGGACTCAAACGGAGAGTTACCTTGCGCAGCCCATGTCCGGCGAGATTTAATATTCTTATCTTCACCTGAAAAAGGTCATTTAGGCGATCGTGTTTTGACGAGAGAATCAAACTTACCGGCATCTGCTACAATATCAACCTCTAGGTCCGAAAGTTGGCCTTTCTCCTGCATTTTCTTATATACTGTCCCGAACTTTACACATGCTTCCCTGAAAAAAGCATGGGTGATATATGAGCTTTATTCCAGTGAAGATAAATATTACCGAAATCTAGAAGCTCCAAAATATTGAGAAAAGTCAATTAGATCTGTCATGCACCCCACATAAAAACCAGCAGCCGCAGCTCGTGCAAAGGCATTAAGCTGCTCCTTATCAAGCATAATCCGCCTTGCGTCCATTGCAACCAGTAGCTGGCTTCTACAAATGAAAAAAATCAGAGACAGAAAAACTCAAACAATGAAAGTTCATACTTTGAGCTGTCTCCTGCTGCATCGTCATCGATCAAGTCCTGTAAAAACCACATTCATTAAGACACAAGTGATTTTCTAAAAACAACTCTCAAGAAGTACCTGCACTTCAGTTCCAGCTGCTCCTGCAACAAAATATACAAGCTAGTATCAATTTTTTAGAGAAACAATTGCATACCTGCGCTGTGCTGCTGATCACCCTACATGACGAGTAAACGTTTAAGTAGCAAATAAAGAGGGATGAGAAATAGACATCGCGTACCACAGCCAAAATATTGATCGCTTCTTCAAGCTGGCGCCTTTCAGTTTCGACAATACTCACTCGCTCTAGCACATCTGGCGTCGTCACAAACCTCACAAATCTGGATGGAAAAAATTCTTAGCCATGACATACACAAAGAAGAAAAGAGAAACAAATTATCTACCTTTCTATGGTGCCTTTTGTGAACCACAACGTTTGAGCATTGGATGGAACTTGAAGCGTAATGGATGTCTGGCCCAATGCAATTTGCTCCTGTGCCGCTTTCAAGTGAGAGAGAAATGGTTTGAGTGATCCAGAGGCTAGCTTTTCCGTCTCGTTCCCCGCAGCAACCCAAAGCTCGCACCTATTCATCCAAGAACGTTTTAAGAAAAGCACGCTTTCCTCAATCTAGAAATAAAAAAACTACCTTGTCCGCGCTTCATCCAGCTGAAATGTCGCACAGTCTAGGCGAGCTTCCGACCTCATTGTGCGGATTTTATGCTCGCTACAGCTGCCGCGATGAGTCTCCGCCAAGGCATGAACTGCATCGCACAAAACAGGCAGTGAGGATAGAATGCCGCAGCGCAATCACAGGTTTCTCGCACAGATCCACTCGCTAGCGCTCAGAAATCTAACGACAATAGCCCTATCGGAGGAGAAGCATCGAGATCACGAAATGTAGGCTCTAGATCAATCCCGCAAGCTCTTCGAATCGACACAGACCTTGAAACAGCCGCTATCGCCGCGACAGCGCCTGTCAGAGAGCTCCGCCTCGCGCGTTTTCAAGCCCTGGATGCCATAGCCAGAGAGAGCTCTGTATCATCCCCGCCGTCCTGGGTGGTTAAATCCTACGGTCCACGTTACCCCAAATAATGCCCACCATCTAGGCCGTCCAGTGGGCCAGCATCCAACGGGCGGGACAAGCGTGACAAAACACCGTTGATGTGATCAAGCCTGCCACGTCGAAACGTGTAAGAAAGTAAAAGATCTACTTGTCCATCGCACGGCGGCGACGGCGACACGTGGAATAAAAAACCGCACCACGTGGAAAGGGCCATTAAAGTAGGCAAAGATTCCTTCGATTTAAAGGCTCACCGATGATGAAACTCCAAATGTGCAATCTCCGGCTTCCTAAGGTTGGAGGTTGTATCCCTATTAAAATACTTTATTGGTGGCATAGCATGCACGTCTATTAATCTAGAAGGAATGATCCCTGGCCGCGTACGAAACGACCCATTCAGAAAATAGCATATGCCAGGTTCTTGTACGGGGTTCTAGTGTCTTGCACGGAAGTTCTACCGTACAGGAGAGTTTGAATTTCAATTGAGAAGAAAGAACATGAGTAAGCTTAATCACCCACTGGCGCCATGCCCTGCTTGAGCCTCTCCCTCTTCATTTTTTTCTTGGACACGGGCTTCTTCTTCCGCCCGGGGAGCGTCTTCTGTGCATAAATGTAGAGCGCGTAGTTTCCAATCACGAACAGCAGCACCACGCCGACTACCACCAGTAGCACCGTCAGTGTGGGATTAAATCCGCCCCGCGATCTCGTGTCCTGCGCGATCGGGCAAAGCGCAAGAAGGCATTAAACCCTAACAGAGATCTAGCGATGGATGGATCGATCGGCAGCTTTGAGCATTGCCTGCATACCTGGTGGATCGATTCGCCAAACCCGCCCTCCGCCATGGCTTCTCCGTCGACTCTACTTCCACACCCTGTTCCTTTTTTAGCTCGCTAACACGTCACACGAAGGCGTCCCGACCGTCCGATCAGATAAGGGGCAAGGACAGCCGTCCGATCGAGATCTGGCACGGAGAGACCATCGTGGCTTGGACTAAGCTCCATGATCAATCCAAAACTATGATCGATATGAAATTAATTACGTAACGTTAAACCTTTGTAAGGCAAATTCTTAGTAAGACTTTGCATTAGAGTGTTTGGAATATGGAAAGGAAATATAGATTAGTATTGATATTAATATTAGATTAAGCACAAGAATCTAGAGTGGGGAAAAAGGAACCATATAATTAAAATACGAATTTCTAGTTGGTGGCTGCTTCAAATTTTTTTGAATGCTAGGATGTGATCATCATAACTTCCACCCTCAAAGAGCATATCTCTAAAGCCATCACGAAAATTTCCATGCCACAATAAAAAAGACCATTCTTTTGTCTAGCACATCGCTTTCAAAGTGGTTTCGAGGTTCCTCAACCTTGACACCAAAGAGATGGGAGTCAAATTCAAAAGGATGCTCTGGTATATCCCGCCGAGACGTACGGTCCGTCAACTATCTGACGGAGATGGCATATTCTATGGACGGAGTCTGTCTGGGTTCGTTAGTTTTGACGGCGCAACAACAGGAATCATTCCTTGACAATGGAAGCCAGCAAAGAGAACACACCACACACACAAACAACTCACTTCCCACCAGGCTTTTTTAGGTTTGGCACATTCTTGTTGCGCGCGATTCCTCGCGATTCTAAGTAGGGTTTGGCGGCGCCGGGGGCGCGAGGCTAGCGGAAGCACCGATTTTGATCGATCGATGATCAAGATTTTTGGAATGCTCCAGGTGAGGCCGATTCTTCTCGAGAATTCTTGCCGCGGGGAGCGATGCGGCCGAGAGCTCCAATGTAGGTGGAAGGGAGCGCCTTGGATGTAGATATTTCGTGGCTGCGCGGTCTATCTAAGCTCTAGCCAGTGGATGGGAATGGATTGTTGCGCAAACGGGATTGAGGCAACGGCAGAAGGGGGCGTAGCATCGGCAGAGAAGGATCAGGTTCTCCAGGCAGTCCAGGTTGCCGTGCATATCCGCCCATTGATTTTGCAAGAACGAATCCAAGGTTGTAAGGAATGCGTTTCTCCGGTACCAAACGAACCACAGGTACTTTCTCCTCTTTCTTGTCAGCTGCCACGCTTTTTTCATTCGAGGTGATTCATTCCAGGTCCAACTGGGTTCTCATGTTTTCACATTCGATCACGTCTATGGAAGCGCCGCCTCTCCGCCTTCACACATTTTTGAAGAGTGCGTAGCTCCGTTGGTTGATGGCCTCTTTCACGGGTATAATGCAACAGTTTTGGCGTATGGACAGGCAAGCGTTTCTTTTTTATTTCATGGACAAGCACCTGACGCAATGCTTTTGGCGCTAGTGTAGACTGGATCAGGCAAAACATACACGATGGGAACTGGTGGGAATGCCGAAGGAATCATCAGAAGGGTCATGGAGACACTTTTTCGGAAGATCGAGAAGCTCAAAGACAAAGCTGATTTCCAGTTGCGGGTCTCTTTTATTGAGGTAACTTGCTGTTTTTTTTTTCTTTGCGCGTTGTTAACTGCGCAGTTTGTAGATACTCAAGGAGGAAATTCACGACCTCCTTGACACGAACCCTTCCCAGACTGTCAAACAAGAGCCATTTGTTGGTGTCTTTGGCGTCAAGCCTTGCTCACCTGGAAAGCCACCTATCCTAATTCGTGAGACTACGGGAGGAGGAATCACACTTTCCAGCGTTACTGAAATCGACGTAACTAATCTGCATGAAATGTCCTCGTGTCTAGAGCAAGGATCTGCATTTCGTGCGACGGGGAGTACTAATATGAATACACACTCAAGGTAATCACAGTACTTGGCAATTTTTATGTTTTACTAACGTTCTTCTTTCACAGTCGTTCCCATGCCATTTTTACGATCACGATGGAGCAACGTAGAAGGCCAGACCCTTTAGTTGGCTCACCTGAGGACGACTACTTATCCGCCAAGCTGCACTTGGTGGATCTTGCAGGGTCGGAACGAGCAAAACGGACTGGAACGGATGGGTTGCGTTTCAAAGAAGGTTGGTTTTATTAGTGGTTTCACGTCAGGTTTAACTTTCTGTTTGCAGGTGTTCATATCAATAAGGGACTTTTAGCTCTTGGAAATGTCATCAGTGCTTTGGGAGATGATAAAAAACGTAAAGAAGGAGGGCATGTTCCTTATAGGGATAGCAAACTCACTCGTCTATTGCAGGTACTGTTGCGTAGGTTTTTTTTATTGCGTTTTGACAAGAAAACCTGTGCAGGACTCCCTTGGTGGCAACAGCAGGACTGTTATGATAGGTATGCTTTTTAATTTTTGTTTTCTTCCAATCACACGTTTGGTCCGACGCAGCATGCGTCAGCCCTGCAGATTCTAACGCAGAAGAAACTCTCAACACTCTGAAGTATGCTAATCGGGCTCGAAATATTCAAAACAAGCCGACTGTAAGTGTTTTTAGCACATTAAAAACATGTAAAAGGAATCTTTATTGCAGGTAAATCGTGATCCAGCTGCAGCAGAACTTCTAAAATTAAGACAGCAGATTGAAATTCTACAAAATCAACTTCTTTGTGCGCAGGAGGCAAATAGTTCTGACGACCTCCAGGTTTGTCATGTCAAAGTTACAAATCTGTTTTCTTGATCTTGCTTTGCAGATACTTAAACAAAAGGTCGTATGGCTCGAAGCCAGAAATGCCGAATTATGTTTGGAGCTACAACAATCTCGTGATGCTCTTGAGGCCCTTATGCAGCAAACTCATGTAGGATATTCTTCGAGTTTATAGTTGGGCTATTGATGTAAGAGCTTTGTTTACAGGTGCATTGTGGATCTCAGTATGAAAACCGCGAGGGTGTGACATCACAGGTAACAATTTATGCCGACAAAAAGTGTCATGTTTTGGGTCAATTTTTTCAGGCAGAAACAATTCTAGCTAATCAAGTTTCACGGATTAAAGAGCTTGAAACTGAGTTGCAGCAGCTGAAAGCTCGTGCTTCTCAACAAACTGTTCAGAGTTGCCATCCACCAATGATGAGTTGCATGAACGGGAGTGCTCCGGCAGTGGTAGACCTGGAAATTCCCAGCGATCTCTCGCCTGAGATAGACACACATGCCAAAGAATTGGAGCACACTATACTTCAGGACAGTCTGGACAAAGAGTTACAAGAATTAAACAAGAAACTTGCTCAGAAAGAGGTGATACTTTCATGTGACTAGTTGGACTAGTTCTCATGCTTGTGTATTGTTTCAGGCGGAGATGAAGTCGTTCACAAAATCTGACTCTATGGTTCTAAAGCAGCATTTCGAAAGAAAGCTGGTTGAGCTCGAAGAAGAGAAGAAGGCATTGCAGGTACGTTAATTTTGCTAGAATCGATTTTTACTTACTCGAAACTGTAGAGGGAGAGAGATGTTTTACTTGCCGAGCTAGAAAATCTTGCTACCGCCTCTGATGAGCAAACACACAAAATGCAAGATTCATACATTCAAAAGCTTAAAGAACTCGAATATCAGGCAAGTAGATTTTCCCACTTAGAAATAAAATATTTGCTTATGTCTTACGTTTTATCAGATAGCTGATTTGAAAAAGAAGCAAGATAATCAGTCGCAGTTGCTAAAACAAAAACAGCGCAGTGACGAGGCTGCGAGACGTTTGCATGACGAAATCCATCGAATCAAACAACAAAAGGTGTGCTCTGCTGGACTTTACTGATTCTTCTTTTACTCTTTTATTCGTCTGTTATCGTGGTGTGAAGGTGCAATTGCAACAAAAAATTAAGCAGGAATCTGAGCAGTTCCGGTTGTGGAAGGCTGCTCGTGAGAAAGAACTGTTGCAGGTAACATCTATTTAATTTGTAATTGTCTTGTAAACAGCCTCTTGCTACAGTTACGGAAAGAAGGACGAAGAAATGAATACGAAATGCACAAATTACGGGCACTGCATCAGCATCAAAAAATGGTTTCTTTTGGTAGTTCGTAAGTTCTTCGTGAACACTGTTGTTTCAGGTTCTTCAAAGGAAGACGGAGGAAGCTGCAATTGCTACACGGCGCCTGAAGGAGGTTTTGGAGTCTCGCAAGTTATCTGGACGGGAGGCAGGTTCGTGGCAAGACTGTTGTTTTCTGTTACTCTAACTCGAACTGGACAGGCACTTTAACAGACAATGGACACGCTTTTCAGGTCATAGTTGTGCTTCTCTCCTTTCGGCTTTTAAAACTCTCGATTTACAGGCGGATGATAAAGTCTTACACAGTTGGGTTGATCGTGAGATCGAAGTGGCCCTTCATGTTCACGAAGTTCGTGTAGCTTATGACAAGCAGAGTGAAGCGTAAGTCGAGGCTTTTATTTCTTCCAACGTGTGTTCTCAAAGTTTTTACTTTCGTAGGCGCACTGCTCTTGCTAATGAACTGTCAAAGCTAAAGGCGGAGGAAATGTATGATCGTTCATACAATGCGCAAAACGGGTATGCTACAGAAGTTTATCTTGTTTAATGTCTGATGATTTCAACTGATGCAGCAATTTTTTACCGATGCACGGGCAAATTGATTTACTTGAGAACATGTTGAATGCATCTTCAGATGCATTGGTTTCAATGGCATCAGAACTCTCTGAAGCCGAAGAGCGCGAGCTCAACGGTCATGCACGATGGCTCCATTTAAAAACTTTGGGGGAGGCCAAAGCACTACTCAACGTAACATTCGGTGCAGCTGTGTGTGCTCGGTATAGAATTTCCCTGTCTCTGTATAAGAAGCCAACAAGGTTCTTGTGAATTCCAGGTGCGATCTTCAAGACAGGGAGACTGAGATACGGGAGTTGAAGGACAAAATCGTTGAGCTCAACGATGCCTTGAAGCTCTCCGATGCACGCAGACAGGAACTTGACAGGCAACAGCGGTTGAAAGAGCAAGCTGTTGCCGTGGCCCTTGCTGCGGCGACAAAGGTAGATAAAAAGTTTCGCGTGCACTGACACCAAGACTTACAATTTCCCGTCAGGCTGGTGCGGACGTTGCGGTGAGATGTGGAATGGAGGAGCTGTCGTTGGGTTTCTCACAACTTGCAGCCTCCGGATCCAAGCACTTGCAGTATACTACAAACAATAGCGTCGATGGTTCGTCAGATTACGACGTCCGAAAGGTAAACACGATAGTCTTCAGTTATGAGAACCATATTCTTCACTTATGAGAACCACGTACTAAATCATAGATTGGGTTGACTTGCAGTTGGCCTCCCTCGAGCCTGGACTAATGACAAAGCAGCCAGGTTTTCAAACTGGAAAGCTTTGGAAATGGAAGCAAAGTCATCAGCAGCGGTGGTCTTTCCACTTCAAGTGGAAATGGCAAAAGCCCTGGAGGCTCTCAGAATGGGTAAGGCATGGTGAGGAATCCATTGAAAGAGTGAGGCCTTCCAAAGTGGTCGGTCTGCTGGAGATGACTTGATCAATCGAGGAAGGCAGATGCTGAATGCACAAGCCTGCTTGGCAGGGTATGGGGAAAGGAGCCACAGGTTACAGATTCGATGTGAGGCATAGAGACCGGTGGAAGCGATTGCGAGTCTGAAAGGTTTGTAACTTCCGGTAAAATCTTGTGAAGTTTCTGACTACTTTGTGATTCTTCTGACAACAGGAATCGAGATGTATCAAGGATACATTGAAACATACACAATACACACAGCTACTACACACATACAACACACAACACACAGCAAGCAACCAAGCAACTTGGACGATACATATAAAGCTTTTATACGGCGGATGTATAGCAGCATATTTTTACTCGTGCCGCGTGAACTTCCCGTATTTTGTTGAGATGACTCAGGGAACTATCCAGGTAAGGTGTTTAATCTCTTACCCGTGTCGAGCGATGTCATTTTAATTTGCTTCCATGCGTGTGCGTTTGAAGGAAGTAAAACACATTTCGTATAAAATGCCTCTGAAATGTCAAGTTCTTATCGGTATGCTTGGTGTTTTTGAATGGACTAAGTGAATTCTTATCAGTTCTTTGCAGGAAAATGTGATTTTTGGAGCGGCAGTTTTGAGAGAAGAAAGCATCCCAGGTATGAGAGCAATTTCTGGGCACTGGACAGATACTTTCACGGAGTCCATGAAAACTTCCACTCCTAGATCGAGTTGTCCAGCCATGAAGCAGGGAGACTCGAGAAATAGTTCCTGCTAAAACCAAGCAGCTTGTCGTTATAAATTTTGGTATGCTTATTCAGCTTGAACAATCAAGCAAGAAATGCTTAAAAAGCTTGAAACCGAAGATCCAATTCGGGCGCCTTTGAAATGTTTTACTGGCAGCTTGAACAATCCTGCAAGAAATGCTTAAAAAGCCTGAAGATAGTAGTGTTCAAGTTGACCATTGAAAACCCAATCCCAGCGCCCACCGTTCCAACGTGCGCCCTGGACACATTGGCTAATGATATTGTTGAAGGCACCCTGAAATTTTTACAAATCAGAATTTGAGGGGAAATGTTTGGAATCTACCCAGCAATGTTGCTTGCTGTTGCCGTCCCAATGTGCCTGGATCACCATCCGGAACTGGCTATGAGGCAATTGCCCCAAGTCAAGGCTGAAATCAGAGAACCCGCCATTGCAAATCCTTTGAGCAGCTTGTTGATATTGCTGGACAGAATAGCCTGGATTGGGATTTCCAAAACACTCAGCCCCATTCACTATCACAACTCCCCCACAAACAAGAAGAGCTAAAAAGAAGAACAACTTGCAAGCCATTTTGTGCAAAATCTACCAGTGCTCTACCCAGCATTGCAATTCCAGTATGTATATATGCATCAAGTGCACAATCACAGCACGACTCTTTTGATTGGAGAGAGAGATGTGAATGGTTAATTCCGCAGCGGTACAATTTGAAACGAGGATTTCATCTTTGGACAATGTTGAATCCGGGCCTAAATTGGAAAAGCATGGGGTGTGATGTCAACTTGAAATCTTAAAGATCATGAAGAATTTCAGATTAACTTAATTCAATTTAAAATGGCAAAAATACACCTTAGAAATATACTTAACATATTATATTCATTGGCTTAAAAAGTAATTGTAATAATAATACTAATAATATAAATATATATTAGCACTAAGGGCTTATCGGCCCCTTCAACCTTGGCAATCCCGGACAGTTCACCATGTTGGATCTCGCATCAGGTACGTCCAACTTTACGAGCCAATGCAATCGAAACCCATGCCGCAGCGTGGTACAAAGATTGAGCTCCAGATGACAATAGAGGTGAAAGTTTCCAGCTTCTCGGCTTGTTTTCATGGTGGTACTTTCAATCTAGGAGAGAATGGAGTTGTTGCTATGATTCTAAGCCAGTAACGCCGATGGTGGTGGTGGCGTTTCACTCGGAATTTCCCGGAAGAACAGCAACCATCCTGTACTTTGAGAGACCGACTACAGTGGAAGTTTGACTCAGCGTTAAATCGTTATTAAAGTGCGCTAAAAACGTTTTTGTTCCGGGTGTTGGTGCGTGCAGGATGTGACGGAGTTCCATTGTTTTGTCTCTCGCTTTTTGCTTTCTGAGTTCTTCCAACGACTAGAGATCTAGCACAAGCGTCGTGTGCGAAAGAATTAGACACCAGCAACGAGCGAGCCATTCGACGAGAAACTATTATAAATGTATATGGTGACGGCATCAACTGGAATCTACCAGAGATTCGAAACAACGAGCCCAGTTTGCTCAAAATTGAGCATAAAGTCAAGGACTTTCACTGTGTTTCAGTGGAAGTCAATCAAATCTAAGAAAGTCTTCAAAGACTGTGTTGACTTTGGCGAACCCATGGTACGGAATGCACGAACAGGAATCGGCATTTTGCGAACTTCTTCCATCGCTCAAATGGAGGATCTGGGCCGCGATCGCTGTTTATTTGCTCGGTTGCACCTCTTGATTGTGCAAGAGGTGGTCATCGAGATTTGTGGAAGCTGGGATTCGCATGCCTGAAACAGTGCCATTGCCTTATCTCCAAGTTTGCAAAGGTCTGAGCACTTCTCTCTCAAAATCCCTTTTGCTGGAATTGGCTTCCAGGAAGAATCAGTGAACATAGCATATATGCGAAATTTTTGTAACCATCCATGACTAAAAAAAACAATTTTCGTTGTCAACACTCTGTGTGAGCGTTTTTGCGTGGCTTATGCTTCAGCTCCAAATCTCGATACACAATGACCCAAAAGATACTGGGGAAAAGATCCGAGTGGAAAGGCAAAATGGTTTAGTTTCATTTTCTGGTTTGTCATTACAGTAAGCTGAGAAACCCTAGTGGCGCTTGGAGCTATGGTGCGGCAGCACAAGACTGTCCACTTGGTATGTAAGAAATTTAGATGTTCCACTCCAGTAGTACCATGCTCGAGGCTACCACAATCTTCCAGCTGACGAGGTACACCTTGGCATCAGCCAAGTTGACCATTGTGACTTTTGGTTATCATAGCTTTGTCTCTTCCACTTTCTTATGTGTGAATAAGAGCCTGGCAATGCCCAGGCGTACAGCCAACAGTGGCTGGCATTTTAGAATCGTTGCTTTTTCTTTTTTTTTTTGTTTTTGCATGGTATTGGAGCTAGGCTAGCTCTCACTTTGATGGCACTACTGTTCACCTTGTCTTTAGAAGTGATTTCCAGTCATGGAAAGTCCAGATGCAATTCTATTTCATGGAAAATAATCTCTAGGGACTAATTGAGGGCATCCTCAAGCCAAGTGACGAGAAAGAGGAGTGGGAGCCGAAGAATAGCAAGATGCTGGGGGTTCTAGGACAAGGTCTCGGAAAGAAGTACTGAAGCTATTTGGATATCAACAATGAGTGAAGAATTGGGATGTAGTGTGCCTGAACCTTGGCAAAACCAGTAGAGCAAGATTAGTTTGGCATGTGGAAGTGTTATTTGATTGGTCCTCCACTTTTATATTTGCTAGAATAACTAGGCCATCAATTAATTTTAGGGAAGCAATTGGACAATGCTGAAAAGCATAAAGATTTACAGATGAGCCAATCACATTGTCTTGCTTGCTGCAAAGATCACTAGCAATTAACTCTTTTATTATATGGTGAATCAATTGAGCTACCTCAGCAAGAGAAGCACTATACAATGATATATATTGAGGTCCAATATACTTTACTTGGCTGGATAATATTGATTGCTTTTACATAGAGAGTTTTGCAGACTTGTGACATCACTTCGAATAGGTTTTCAAGGTATATCTTATAAGCTCAAAGATAAGCTCTAAATCTGGCATGAAATTTACAACTTGCCAACATAGAACTAGTTAAATTAATACTTGTTTCATGATTGCTCAAGATCTTGATTCATCCGAAATGATTACAAGAAAATTATTAACAAGATCATAAAACTTATCCCAATTTACCCTTCCATTCCTGTAGAGCTGAACATGAGGGGAGTGGTACAAATGCCTGGATAATTTCTTATAAATATTCATTAATAAAAATATTAGATAAAAATTATTATTTGGAAATATGAATATTTTAAAAAATACCTGACCCAGAAAAAAGTAAAAATGAATTTTCTATTATTAACAATATGTTATATGTAAACTATATTTTTTCTTGGAATAAAATTATATTAAAATTTTATCAAACAAAAGAGAATAATTACTACAAGACATTACTTAATTATGCATTTTACTTAGAATATAAAACAATAAGTATTTAGGAATATTAACATATTTCTACCCAGATCCAGTCATGAAAATAATTATTTGTAAATATAGAAATTATAAATTCAATTATTATATTTTATAGTATTATGTACTAATAAAATTTATTTGCAGTTAGGAAAAAGATTTACAATCTAGCTCATTATAAAAAATACTAAGATAATGTATACAGCATTTGATTAAACAGTAATATTTTCTAAGGCTGCACATAAAAATATAATATATAATCTTATTGTTAAAGTTGTTTATTTTTTTATATTAACACTTGAAGCTTTAATTATGGTTCTACACATTTATAAAACTAAGTCAACCCACATTTGATATACCATCACCTAGTGTTGGGTTTTATATGTTTTAGATAGGCCATTTGTACAAGATATAATTTTCTTATTATATTTGTAAATACTGTGAAATTAAATTATAAAAGTTAATGTTGACCTAAAATATGTAAATATTTTATAAAACAGAATAAGTTTAGGTAAATTTGATTATTTTATTTATAATAAAGTTATTCACATAAAAAATATTCACTCTATTGGGGTAACCCATTAAACAGAATTCAAATCTCTGCTAGTTTTGGAATTTGATCTAATGATGCCACCAAAGACATACATAATCTATCGGTACAACTTGTCATTGGTTAGATTAGCAAAAGCACTATGTATTGCCACCTAGATAACCCAAAATCTTTTGATACCACACTTCCATCACCATGGCAGCACAATTAACAAGAGATAGAACCTACTGTTAGAGTCTAAGCAAGACATGTCTATCCTTGAAATGCATCAATGCATTTTGTGCAAATTAGCTAGGTTTTCTAGCATCAATTAAAAGGCTCAGCACTTAGTGTCCCAATCTCTACACCTATGAATTCACTTGGTAAAGAAAGTTAAAATTTTACCATCCTAATAACCATGTAGATTTGCCATGAACTATGAATGCCCCTCCTTTCGTGCTAGTGGCTGAGAAACTACATGCCAAGAAAACCCTCAGCACTGTGCACAACAATAAGCCTAGGAAGATCACAAAGAATGTTACTATCCAAGCATAAACACAAGCCAAGACCAATTGTCACAGTTACTATTGCAAGTTCTGACTCCTTCACTTTTGCATTCTCTAGAGCTTGTGCCACCACCTAAAAAAAAAAAAAGAATGATTTTGTGTGATGCGGGTCTTCAGTGGTGGAATTGGCTTGAGGAGTCTTGTGCTACAGATAAAACACCATTAGTGATAAAAAACTCTCAAAACTTCCATTAAAAGAAGATGTTGATTGCTTGTTTGTGGTTTAGACATGTTGCTAGAGGCATCATACCACCATATTATTGAAGAAGAAACTCTGCCTTGAATCCAAAGAAACAAAACAAAACAAAATAAAAATGAAGAAGAGAGAAAAAAAAGTACTTACGATCTCAATGACTCTCCCTAAATCTTTCCATCACTAGTGACTTAATAAGAAGTTTGAGAAAATGCAATCTCATTGCAAGAAAATCCACTTACAATAATAGCTCTAGTGGCATTGTAGCTCATCTCAATTCCCAAAATAGGCAGCAAATTAGCAATTGCAGCAAGAAAAGAAAGGCATCATATAAGAATTTGCACATTTGGGATGAATGTGAGGTGCCATTGCTAGGGATTAGCAAGAGAACTCACAAAACCCTAAATCAAGGGAATTCAAATATGAAATTGAATCATAATCTGAAGCCACCAATAGTCCAGCCTGCTATCATCGTAGATGCTCTCCATTAAACTTTAGAACCTACCCTCTCAATTTAAGAGGGTCTCCATTGCAAAAGGGTTGAGAGCAAACATTAGCACAATCATTCACTAAGAAGTGGTTAAAGACCCTTTTACAGTTACCCCGCCCCCCTTGCCATTGGTTGGATTTAGCAGTTTATGGCAATTGCTCCTTATTATTATAGATTTTAAAATTCTATTTATATTATGGATCTTTGAACTAAATATTTGTCTCTTTCTTTGTCATTTAAAAAATAATAATTAAAATAAAATATTAACTATTAATATTTTATATAAAATAGCTAGGATCAATTAAATTTATTTAATGTATATTTGGTTTCAATCTCGGACTCCATCTCAAACCCGGTCTCAGTCTTCATCTTAAACTCCTTCTCAAACTCTATGGCTAAATTAGAGTATCTTAACAAAACTACCTTAACTTTTAAACTCTTTAACACTTCAACTCCAATATCTTGCATGACT